AAGTAAGAAGAATAGACTTTCCTGAGGAAGATGTATTGTCCAGTCGTTGGGTCACGGAAACAAAAAACAAAAATGGCAATCAGATCTATAAAGCACGGCTTGTTATCCGCGGCTTTGAAGAACACAATGCACCCCCATCAGACTCACCAACCGCTCAAAAGAGTCTAGCCAGGATGTGTCTTTCTATATGCAACTGGAAGAAATGGGACATCCAATCAATTGATGTGCGAGCAGCGTTTCTTCAATCAAATGACTTAGAAAGAACAGTGCTAATGAAACCACCCAAGGAATTTAGGGTGAGTGATGACGTAGTATGGAAAATCAAAAAGCCTGTTTATGGACTGAACGATGGAGCTAGACAGTGGTTCATCACAATGAAGACTAAACTAGCAAGTTATGGTTGCAAATCCTTAAAACTTGATCCTTCTGTATATGTTTACCACCATAATAGAGAAATCAGTGGCTTCCTTGTGATTCATGTCGATGATATCCTAGTGGGAGGAAATGCAGATTTTCATCAGAATGTGGTAAAAGCCCTATGCTCTGACTTTCAACTTAGTACAAAGAAGAGCAAAGAGTTTAGATATATAGGTTGGGATATCAGTCAGAAAGAAGACCAAATACAAGTCGACCAAATATCATACCAAGAAGGTATTGTTCCTATCGAGTTAAACTCTGCCCGAAGAACTCAGTCGGATCATGAATTGAATGAATCAGAGAAGAAAAAATATCAAAAATTATTAGGGAAACTGCAATGGATTTCGTCTCAATCCAGACCTGATATCCGATATTTGGTATTGGAATGCAGCCTAATGGCAAGTAAACCCGTTGTCAGTGATGTTATCCAGTTAAACAATGTTGTAAAAAGACTAAAAAAGCACACTCTAAGAGTATCTTTTTCGATCCCACCCTGTAACGTTGAAGATCTCAGGATAGTAGCATTTTCAGATGCTGCATTAAGCAACCTTCCTGACAAAACTTCGAGTACACGGAGCTATATCATCTTTATCAACTGTGGTGATGCATATTCTCCGCTATCATGGTGTAGTAAAAACTGGAGAGAGTTGCAAAGACCATCATATACGCTGAGGGTATTGCCTTAGGAAAATGCCTGGATGAAGCTGTCAATCTAAGAGAAACTATGATGGATGTCTTAAATCTAAGGAATAACGAAAACAAGGACAATATGTTACCAATCATTGGAGTAACTGATAGCAAATCACTCTGGGATAATATTCAATCATCGTCTTTGGCTGCAGATCTCAAACTAAGACGAGAGGTAGCATCGATAAAAGAACAAATGACCCTTAGAGAAGTTTATGGAATTGTCTGGACACGCACAGAACTACAGCTAGCGGACTGCTTGACCAAAAAGACAGCTTCCCCCGAAACTTTACTGCACGTTCTAAGGACTGGATCTTACAGTTTTGACCTAAAAAGCAATTGCGTTGTGTCATCAGACCTCATTGGTTGTCAAAGCACAAGCAGATAGTGTGTTCATTTATTGTCTAGCCGGCTGAAGTGGTGGGGTTTATTCTTGTGCCCTAAGGACTGGACTGTTATGGGCAATGAAATACCTTTATTTCGACTTCTTATTGGTGTCATTACTCGAGGACTTGTTGTATTGAGGTGGGAAGAGTGATTAAGGCTATCTGAGGATGAGGTGTACCTGGTATGACATCAGTTTTCCCTTGAGATATAGTTGTTTATTGCTCTGAATATTCTGGTGTTTGGGCATATGTTTTAACCCCTTCCGATTTCACGTCTGTGTGAGCTATATCTATGTACCGTTTCTCTTTATCATTTTATACTTTTATACTTGAGTGTGCATGTCAGTTATATTTCACTTGATCTTATAACTTAAGATATTTGCCAGATGTTATGGGCTGGTTTTTATATACTTTTAAAGATTTTTAATTTTAACAATCACTAATCCTCTGGGTTAAACTTTTACATCCTTCTTAAATTATAAGTTTGTTTGGCGGGAGATTGTTATATCATTATTTATAACAATGCTCTTATTTAGGACAGGATGTCAAGTTTCGTTTCCACCTAGTGGTGAGTTTGTATGTTTTCGAGTACTATGTTTTAAAGTACTATTAGCCGTTTTATAAATCCCGTTTTATGATGTATTCTTGACTATTGAGCAATGAATATTGGATTATGTATTTCTAATACGTTTTCTATTTCAGATTGTTATAACTGTCATTTGGTCGTTTTATTGCATTAAACACTTAGGCTTAGGCTGTACGGAATTAGCTTTAATTCTACCTCATATTAAAAACTTAACATCATTTTTGAGATACAAAAATAAAGAATATCAAATTTAAAGAATATCAACAGTCAGAACTGATTGCCAGAACATGACAGAGTATGTTAAAAGAATTTATTTCTTGTAGGTTTATAATCTACCAGGACGCGCGCCGAGTTGGACTCGTCGACTGAACAAATATTTTACGAGTATCACCCGTTAAATTTATTTATAACTCTTTATTGCAATGTGTCTTGCAAAGTGAAGACAATGGGAAGAAAAAACATCAGAACTGATTATATAAATGATTCTTTAACATTCGCTTGAAACAGTTGTTATTAGTAATATATCTCAACATCAGTGAAAGAGAGTTCCATGTAACCGGTGCATGCAGCTTGAGAAACGTCTGTCATCAACTTTGGACTCTTTATTCTTTGGTATCTTGAGCATGAGAAGGTCATCCGGTCTCTTCGACCTGGTCATGGTATATGAGAGTTCTGTATCCACTACATCCACATCTAGTAATGCTTTGATGTAAGCAGGTGCAGTACCATGAACTGATTTTTGGGTTAATAGACAAACTTTGAAGAAGATTCGCTGGTCTATAGGGAGTATGTGAGCCTTCTTGTAGAAAATTCGACAACCATACTACACATTGAATTAGGATTCCTTTAAATATCAAATTGATTTATTGTAAACTTGTTTACTCTGTAATAAATTGCATGAAATTGAAATTTTTGTTTAACTGAAATTTATGTTTAACTGAAATCGTTGTTTGAATGTGGGACAATTTTGAAAAACTTAACTACGGTACTACCAAAACTGCGCGTTATGCTCTAGAAACACACTTTTTAGATATTTTACCGGCCTATCCTTTCAAATCATCTAATTTGTTCAATTTTAGGGAGGGGCGCCAAAAGAGGAGGGGGCGCCAACAGGGGCGCTCTTTCAGCGAATGGGGCGGCAATAGGCAACGTTAAACCACTGGACATGCCTCCAGAGTCCAGATGTCATCACATATTACTCCCTCTAAAATCATTTAGATTCTGTCTGAACAATCAATAATTTAATGATGTGTTATCCTTACAGTAACTTTGGCAAACTTCCTGAACTCAGGCAGCTTGAATGACTAAATTTGTAAAAAAAGTAAAACTTCTTGTCTGAATGAACTATTAGAACCACAAGAGGCTGATCCGCATGTCTTCGCTACTAAAATGTTTATTGAGCCCAATCACTCATCACTTAACAGTCTAATCTTCAAAGTGAGTTGTACAATCTAGGTTGTTTTACGTAGCTTAGGCATCATGTAGCCGGTGGGCCCGACATGATACGACATATCTTGACACGTCGGGGTTTGTCGGGATTTGTCAGGGTTTGTCGGGGTTTGTCGGGGTTTGTCGGGGTTTGTCAGGGTTTGACGGGGTTTGACGGGGTTTGACGGGGTTTCTGGTTTGTCGAGCCCCTGGAGGCTTTTTTTTTTTTTTTTTTTTTTTTTTTTTTTTTGAGTCTCCCAACAAAAAGCCGAGACGGAGTCATCAAGCTTTACGTGGAAAAACACTATGCAAGAAGGCCTCATGTAGCCGTCGGGCCCGAAGCAAAACCCCTCGGCAAACCCCGACAAACCCCGTTTGTCGGGGTTTGTCGGGATATGTCGGGGTTTGTCGGGGTTTGTCGAGCCTGGAGGCTACATGATGCCTTAGCTTTTGATAGTGTAAAACAGGAGAGACCTGATCGTTTGCATAACTTCGATTTACAACTTCTACCATAATAAAACTAGCACTGCCATGGGGTTCAAAAAGGTTCAAAAATTCAGCAAAGAAATGTGTATGTGTTAGCGACAACTACATTCATCATTCATTGATATTTAAACGGCGGGGAGGATATGTTTCACTTCACCACAGCACAAGTCTTTAAAAGATTTGCTAGCAAACCGCTGGTCGCAAAGATGTCTCCACTGAGCCTATTAGTCTTCCTGTCAACGGTACACAACATCCTGCAGGGGACAACAAAACGAATGCAGCTAAGTTAGATTGTAACTGCTAGGAGTATGATATATGAGATCCATGGAAAATGGTATTTTTAGATGTAAGAGTATATTGTTTATGCTGGGGGTAAGAGTCCATAGCACATGACGTGCTCTAACATTGATGTTACTGGTTTCCCCAATCATACAGTCAATTTCTGATTACTAGTCTGAGCATTTTTTCAGCCTACAAATTCTTTGTCACCATCTCTTTCGAGGCAAAATAAAAATGAGTACAACGAAAAGATTATTAAAGTTGGAGTGGAAAATTTGCACCAATAGTTCTATCAACGACAAGTGGAATGGGAATAGACGCCAACATTTTTAGGAAGCTAGCTGATAAGCTGTCTAGAAAATCAGGCCATCAATATAGTGAGACAATGACAGAAAAAGGTGAGGCTTGACCTCTTGAGAACCACAATCATCGCTCAGTGGCATAACTTGCATGTTGGCACCCGTGCCCAGAGTGCCCCCCTTGAAGCGCTCCCTCAAAAAAAGTTTGTTTCTAGATCAAAATGCAATATTTTGCTAGTACTTCAGTTAAGATTCTCAAAATTGTCTCACATTCAAACGACGATTTGGAAATCCCCCCCCTCAGTGGTGTCCTTCATTACGACAATGCCTTCTTGCCAGACAAACATCAGTCCACTTTAGCATTACTGGTATGCAATCCATGGGATAGGAACTGAATTCTTGTCCATACGATTAAATAACAAGTTTATTATTTTAGGGCTAGGGAAATGCAGAGTAAGAGGAAGCTGTTACACTTATCATAGCATATGTGATCAAAAAGGGATACACATGGTGCAGATGGTTTGATTCAGATGATAAAATGAGTCCAGTATCCACTCTTCTGCTATTTGCTCTCAGCAGTGTCTTTGGTAAGCTTATAAGACTTTTGGTTTCTTTTTGTGCTCAAGTTATAACTTCACTAATATTTTCTATTCCTTTCAGGGGCTATCATGGTCAAAGTGACCACTGAAAGATTGGAGCCCTAAGCTTACCCGGCTACAAATTGATATGTGGATCGAAATATTAGTATCTAGTGATCTTTTCCACAATTGTTGTTGGTTGTTTCGTGATGTTTAAGTAGCTGATGATTTTCACTTTTAACATCTGATGACACTAAGTGCAGGAAGGTTTTCGTACAATTCAAATATTTTTTGTCTAAATCATGCACTTTGTTCAGGCAATAAGTTAAATGACCGCATATCAGAATGGTGGCCAGTTAAGCAGACACTTAAAACTCATCTTTCTTCTGAAACTGTCTCTGTTACTCTTCTTGGAAATCTCAGGTTAGTTATTGGCGAGTTCTTTCATTATCGCTTATTTTTTGGTTTGGGTTTGGTTTATACAGCCGAAAAGGGAAATGCCTGAGACCACCTATTTAAGAACAATAGGAGTATCGATATCACATTTTACAGACATTCTGTACACACATAGTGCCCAAATTATTAAAATATCTAAAAGCGATTTTTTGTCACCTGCTAGGCTCTGACTATTTGATCCTCGTCCACCCATATAGATACATTTAAATATAATAGCCTTGTTTATAGATTTTCGATTTTTTTGTATGAAAAATCGAGAATATTATAATGAATGGTATTAATTGGCCAGTTTAATGGTATTAGCGCTATCTTATGTATAATAATGATCTATACAACTCTTGAGCGTTGTGATGAGCCATTTCCTGCTAAATATTTTACGGTTTTTAACTCAGAAATTACCAATTAATTATCCAAATCATTTTTGCTGTTGTGTTAAGACACCTCCGATTGTTATGTACTGTGTTGCAAACTAACAACTTTTGCGGTATTTTTGTTCTGACCTTAAAAGAGGAAATGAATAATGTATAGAGATTAAAATTGCGGCCGAGAAATACATAGGCCAGGAAATACATGATCGGGGACTATCAATATTTTTCAGTGTAAACTTTACAGTGGTGTTTAATTCATAGTTAATCGCATACCTAGAATTTTGTTTCAACTTTTAACATCCACTTTTACTAGTATATGGTTTGTTTCGTTCTGATGATCATCCAACACTAGTATAGAATAACATAAGATGGTTTTATTTTAGGCCTTTGAGTTCGTTTTAGTTTTCTGTAAGATTTCTAAATAATCACATTTGTATGGTACCAAATATTAAACTTAATCCTGAATACACACGAAGAAATGTTTCTTCCGGTAATGGTAGAAAACGCAGTGCCAGTAGATCCAGCTCGCATCCCGTATCCAGCTTTTAACAACGCAGCCGTAACTGAGACCACATTTGCTCCAGCGTATCAAGATAGCGTAGATATCAAGAAACAAAACGAGACGTATGTCCGGAAGATGTTAGGACAGACTGAAATATTGGATTTTATTCGTTTACCCTCGAAAGATGACAGTTTGCTCAAGAAAGCTACCGGTGAAGATTTTAATGTTGCCCATTTCCAAAGCTGTGTCCGCTGTCGATGTCTTCATATCAACGGAATATTTTCGTTGAAGGGCCTCGATGATTTTGACAGTTGCCCCAATGAAGTGGAGCAGGAGAAGGCCATTAATGTATCTAATCGGATACTGAGCGGCGAGAAATTAAAAGACATTCCGCAGTTGGATAACACTAACAGGATGTCACCTGAAGGTATGATATCAAATACCAGCTCTCCTGAAAGTTGGGCACGGCCTTTGTATACAAGTGATGTGTTTTCTCGCAAACAACGCCAAAACACTAAACTCAGATTTCATCAGGATCCTGCACCCTTGATCAGACCATCTAATCAGAATCCGTGGAAACCGGTCCATATCCGGAACAAGGAAAACCACCCAACCCTCTCTCTTCTTCTATACAACAAACTGCATCACGACAACCAACAGCACTACAAATGCCACATTTGTGGTCATGAGTTCAACCAAAGGGGCAATCTCTACACCCACATGAGGATCCACGAGGACAAACGTCCCTTTCAGTGTGGGGAATGTGGATATGCGGCCAAGCGGATGGTTCACCTGGAGAGACATGCCAAGCACCATAACTTCCGGTTCCAATTCAAGTGCCGGTTTTGCTCGTATTCTTCTAAGATGAAAAGCACGATCACGAAACATTGTATGCAAGTTCATGGTGACCTTTTAAAGGCGTTCAATTTGGAGGAATACGTTTGAACTATATAGGAAATACTACTAAATAACATAAATTCTAATACTAAATAATATGAACTATAGGAATGCATTCGAAATGAGCCGTTTAAACATGTTATTTCACAGGCAGGTTTTTTAGCTGACAGTTGTTAAGTGTTGATTGTTTTTTAGTCACGTGTTATCACTTATTAGTTAGTGAACAATTTGGGATTGATCTTTTAAAATATGCTTTTATTTTGGTTTTTGGGGATTTTTGATGACATATTGCTATTTTCAATTATTTTCGGGGATATTTTATTGCATTATATACAGCTGGTCCCAATATACTTTTAGTAATTTTCATGATTTAAATATAATCTTCAGCAAACTTTTTTCGTTGTTTTGAAATTCATGGCGCACAGCGTGCACTGTGCAATTTAAAAACTTTAAGATCTTGCCCCCCCCCCCCCCGACCCCTCCGATTTGGGCTGAAACTGGCACATTAACTGGATATACAGCAATCTGGCCAGGGATAACATGTTTCAGAGTTACACCGTATGTCTTGTTTCAGGCTAATAACCCTTGACCTCCATAATACAGCAGATGTTGGTTGGGGCGAAACGTTGCTATCTGGTCAGGTGAAAGGTTTGTTCAATCATACTCACTGATTGTTTTTACAGGTTCCTAATATTTGATTGGTATGCCAGGTAAAAAATGTTGCGCTTTCAACACTTTAAGCCAACTTTTTGATTGTGTTAAATTATCAAAAAATAAACCGAAACTTTCAGGGGATAAAACGTCTTCAGCTACAGGCTACCTTGACGAAGATGATAAGTTTGTTGGTCGAGTGCACCTGAAAGGGATATTGTATCACGTGGAGCCAGCACTGCGCCACAATTTACCAGGCTCTGAGTATGATAGTGTCATGTATAGAGGTAGCCAGGAGCCCATTCTACACTCACAGCTTGTTAGAACCCTGCAGCCGCCTCGCTCTGGAGGTATTATTATTATTATAATAATTCTACGTATAAACGCGTTAATCTGTAATGTATATCGCTCTCCAAATGGGGACTTGAATGGTTTCCTTGAACAATTGAAAATTTTCCTCCGTAACTTAGCAAGACATCGAAACAAAAATATCATACTGGCCGGTGATACTAACATAGACCTACTAGATTACGGGAGAATAGACTCTGTTACTATGTGGACACTTTAGCAGAGCACGGATTCGCTCCTGTGATATCAAGACCAACTAGAGTCACAGATCACAGTGCGACTATCATTGACCATATTTTTGTCAATAATTGCCACGCTGTTACAAAATCGGGAGTAATTTCTGAATCAATCTCTGACCACTTGGCAACTTTTGTCACAATTATGGTTGATCAGAATAGGCTCAGTTGTAAACTTCAAGAAGATACAACAGAAACATCTTCTCGAGTAATAAACGATGACAGCATCAAAAAGTTCGAGAACGACATTTCTGCCGTAGACTGGAACTTGGTTAATAACTATGATTCTGCAGATGAAAAATTTGAGGCTTTCGAGAAAAAATATAGTGAACTTTACGACCGAAATTTCCCAATGAAGGCAAAAAAGAGTAAACCAGGCCGCCGTAAAAACACAAAGCCGTGGATCCAAGAATGGTTACGGTGCGCATGTGATCGCAAAAATAAATTTTATGAAGATTTTGTCACAAACCCGACCACAGAAAATGATATTAGGTACAAGAAAATGAAGAAATTTGTGAATAAACACGTGGATAAGGCCAAAAACAAATATTACAACGCATACTTTACAAAATATTCTAGCGACAGCAGAAAACTATGGCAAATGGTTAATAACTTGTTAAACAGAAAGAAAAAAGGCAAAATCAAGATAAACAAAATTAACTATAATGGGAGCGAGATAACAGATTCTCAGCAAATTGCGAATAGCTTCAATGACTATTTCTGCAATATAGCTGAGACTCTTAAGAGAGAAAATGGTCTCGTATGCTCCGAGGGCCGGACTATCGTAACAGAAACTCAAGATAGCAAATGCCAGCGGAGCATGAATCTAGAAGATTCGTCCGCATCAGAAATAATTGAAATAGTTAAGGGTCTGAAGATTAAGTCGACTTCTGATATGAGTATACTTCCCCTGAAAAAAGTGAGCAATATACTTGCGCCAGTGCTTAGCTGCCTAGTCTCTGCGTCTCTACATCAGGGGAAGTTTCCACATCAATTGAAAATCGCGAAAGTAATTCCACTTCACAAAGGTGGGTCACGTGCTGAAGTTTCAAACTATCGACCTATCTCACTACTTTCGTGTTTCTCAAAAATTTTTGAAAAAATTATGCAAGCGCGACTATTAGATCACTTAAAGACAGAGAAAATCCTATTTGACTCTCAATACGGATTTCGAGCTGGGCATAGCTGTGAACATGCTTTACTAGAAGCCCAAAACCATATCCACAGGGCACTAGAAAAAAAGCAGGTCACAGCACTGCTTCTATTGGACTACAGCAAGGCCTTCGACATGGTTGACAGCAGTATTCTTCTGAGAAAACTTGAGCACTATGGAGTTCGGGGATTGGCTTTATCTTGGTTTCACTCATATCTTACCGATAGAGAGCAATACGTGAGCGTCAACAACTGCAAGTCCTCTCACCTCAAACTTAACTACGGAGTACCACAGGGCTCCATTCTCGGACCAATTCTTTTCATAATTTACATCAACGACCTTCCTCAGATTAGTAATTTAGCTAAACATATTTATTTCGCTGACGACGCAAACCTAATAATAAGTACAGATACATTTGAACAACTTAATGCAATGGTGAATGAGATTCTGACTTTGATAATTGATTGGGCTACTAATAACGGGCTTAAATTAAATGCTAGCAAAACTAAATATATGATCTTTACAAATAAGAAAACTGAGGATATAGAAATTTACATGGGAGGTGAACGATTAAAGCAAAGTGATCACGAAAGGTTTCTTGGCGTGATCATTGATACCAAGCTAAATTGGGCCCACCACATTAGACATTTAGCCACTAAAGTATCTAGAAATGCGGGCATACTCTACAAACTCAAAGGCTCTGTACCTAACAAAGCACTCAAGTTGATATACAACAGCTTTGTTCAGTCTCACTTGTACTACTGCTGCACAGTTTGGGGAACAAGATCGCTAAACTCCGTTAAAAGAGTCTCCTCGGCCCAGAAAAAGGGCATTCGCGCTGCAGATAACCAATACCACCGCTATTTTTATGACAAAGATCTGAACAGTACACCTTCACACACAAAGGAAATTTTCAATAAACTAGAAGTATTAGCTTTACCGAACGTGATAGCTAAATGTATATTATGCTTAATGCACAAAGTTTATTCTAACACTGCACCACCAAATATTATAAGAATGTTCACTGTTTTAAACTTAAACGCACCTAGAAGAGAACCTGAGTTCTTTGCAGTACCATTTAACCGTTTATGTAATTCAGACAAGAGCATTTCTTACATTGGGCCTAAGTTATATAACAAAACAGTCAACATTATTAACAAGGACATAAAATATGTCACGACTTGCCTACAAGACAAATTCCTAAATTCATTCAAGTCTACAGTCAGCAAGCATGTGCTTACTGCACAAGCACTTAACCCGGATGACAAGGACTGGAACAACTCAAATTTCGTACTTTTAGAAATTTAAATAATTTGGTACAACATACGTTGATAATAACGAGCAACAAAATTTTAACCTCATAACGAAATATGACTATCTTCGAGCATTTTCTACAATGCTATCGCTACCGCGCAATTTCACTGTCATTTTGATTTACAAGACAAAAATATCACCGCGCATTCTTCAGACCCTGTGTCGCTGTTCTAAATTTATGTCAAGAGATAAGAGTTATTTAGAAATTCTTAATAGTAGTACTATTCAAATTTGCTAATAGCGTAATCATATTTTAATTTGTATACATTATTCATATTTTATACATTGTGTGCATATTGATATATTTATATTTGATTGTAATTAAAGATTTTAAGGCGTTAGTGCCGAGTAATGCCTCTGGGTAGTGCTCCTCAATCAATCAAGTACCCAGTATAAAACTGTAGCTGTGTTAGTAGTGTAGTAGTGTAGTAGTGTTAGTAGCAGTGTCGTTAGTCTCGCCAGTAACACTCTTGGGTTTCTAGTTCGATGTTCTGCATATGTACTAATAATAAATTAAGGCCAACGTATGGGTACTGACTTTTGGCCCCCCTGTATAATACAGGAATTTCACTATGCGATTAGGAAACAAACCAAACTCACTTCGTCAACCTCGCTCGTTTAATTACATACGATAATCTCACGGTCTTATAGCGCGATTCAGTAAATAATAACACCGAAGTTGATATTAGTTACAAGGTTATAGAATCGCGCTACAAGGTTGTGAGATTATCGTATCAACAACACGTCCGTCTAGCTCTTGACGTTTTATTTCATCTCGCATTGTCGATCTTCTGACCAAATTCTGATATAACATCTTCATAATCTGTCTACCATATTTTATCGTCATTATAAAACAGGAGCCAATGAAATTTAAGAAAATACTGAGCACTGGTTATATAAACGTCACGACCATCATAACACAGCTCAAATAAAACACTCATCTTTAGACTTTTATAAGACAACCACAATGACCTGGTTGTTAATGACATTTTATAATTTCACGAGTGAATTTTACTCATGTAACATGTTCCTGGAACATGTTACATGAGTAAAATTCACATGATGTTCCTGTTATTATTCCTAATTTGGTTAACTTCGGTGACAGACCAGTCACCAAATGAATGCTATCAGGTTTTTAATTTTGGGTTTATAACTTGTGCTTGATTTTAAAATCTGAATTAATAGTCTGTTACTTTTTGCAACATAACTTATGCTGAGGTATTTTTGATTCACTGATTGTTTACTTAACCTCAATAGTCTAAATAAATAAATGAATGACCATGATTCAAGACTGAACTTCGTCTCAAGACGGGTCGGAAATTCTTTAACAATACCAGGTAGAGCCGGAAGGTTTCCAATACCACGTCAGCCGGTCAGCTGTAACTGATATTTAACTTATTGTGTAACCTGCCTACATAATTATGGTTTAACTTTATTAGTTCATACTGTTGTTAACGCTACTTCCAGTAGCATCTTAATGATACTTCCGCGTTCATCATTATTGTTAAGGTCCTCATTCAAATGTTAAAAGCCAGAATGTATGCTGAGTAGTGGGTTCCGAAGAATTAAGGCAATCTGATATTTAAGAAAAGAATGGGTGCTTAATAAAACTTCAAATACAAGGAGATTTCTTCCAAAGTTTTCACCAATAATTCGGAAGTGCGGAGACGACTTAGACCTCTCACTTCTCTTTTGAAAAGGTATTGAAGCTGTAAAACTATCTAACAGACGTATTTAGAACGTTAAGTCCCATTCTATATTTCTCTCTGAGGATCCCAATATCTGTGGTTAATTTCAAACACAACTAATTTCTTTGATACCCCCTCCTTGTAATTCTCTTTATTGGTCCTACTACGGTGGTTGGTGCAGATCTGCAATTACTAAGATTCAGAACCCGGCAACGGTAAATGTCCTCAATCTAATCAAACTCTAATGGGTTTCTTTACGTGCCCCCGAAAGGGAGCCGATGCACATTAACTCTGCACTGATGATAGAGATCTGTTGAGTTGGATAGAACACTAATTGTAGGTTTACAAGGTTGTGATATTGTCTAACTCGACTTCTTTTGTCTATTTCAACATTTCATCTTGCTATTGCAAGTATTAACTTATTCTACATATTTTCATGCAGGCTGGAGCTTCATAGTACCACGTAGCCTAAAGGCTAGATACATATTATTCGACCACGAAGATTTTTGCCATAAAATGTAGGTTATGAACAGCTCAAATATTTCTGCAAATACAGTAGTACCTCGCTATAAATATATCGCGCATCGAAGGAGGGAAGAATTTAGACCAAATAACCGCGTTATAACGAGGTCCGCTTTATAACGAAGTCCGCGTTACAGGACGGTTTGATCGTGAAAGTGCATTATCACATACCTCTTGTCCTGTAGAGGGGGGAGTATTTTTGAGAGTCCCGACGAAAATGCCAAATTCTCATTCTCAAAAATTATTTTTGAGTATTTTTGAGAAAGATTCCAGGAGAGGCGAAAAACTCATTCTCAAAAATTGATTTTGAGTATTTTTGGACCACATTTGCACTGATATGAAGAATAATTTGGTATATGTGAGTGGACAATTTTTGAGAAAATGAGAAATCCATGCTGAATTTCTCAGGTTAAAAAATGATGTTTGAGTGGACAATTTTTGCGAAAATGAGAAATCCATGCTGAATTTCTCAAATTCAAAAATAATTTTTATTTTTTATTTTTATTTTTCATTTGTAAAGTTACATTTTTTTCACTGTTAAAATGGATAGGTCTTTAAATAATCTGATCGTTTGATCTGATCATGGTTCTTTCTCGATGACTTCTTGGGCAGCTCTTTTAAGAGAATAAAGTCTAAAGAATACTGACCAACCTTAAGCTAGCTTTTTACCTAACTTTATGCTACGATTGCGTAAGTGATATTACCCGGCTGCCCTTACTGTCAATCTCCTGCAGTCTGCAGATGTTGGAGACCATGCAAAACTACAAGAATTAGGAGTAGCCACAACTATAATCAATGTTTGATGACTAGACACTAGACAGGGGTATTGTGACGAAAAACAATGAATAATGGTGTCTGAACTTGGGAACTTAGGAACAAGTCGCGGTACATCATAATAATTCCCTTTCAATAAACGATCAGGCTAGCTCAAATTATTTTTTTTGTGTGTACACAAAGATATTATCGTGCGACGTGACAAGTTCGGAAGGATTAATGACCTCCTTTGTAAAACGGTCAGCATTAACAGTAAGGCTTCGCTATAAGTGCACCTTCATGCACTATGATATTTGAGCTTATTAAGATTTATCCCGCTGATGGTATACGACTCGTTGTGGACCTTACTTCATCAAGTGGGGGTTGAAGTGAACTGTTGTTAGAATTACAGACGGTGTAGCTGAAGGACAATATTTTTTAAAGTAGTACAGACAGTGGAGGTTAAAATAAAGCGCACTAGAATAGACGGTGAAAGTTTGCAAGTGAACTATCGTCCAGAAAGGACTAGTGCAATACAACTGTATATTTAAAATGCTCGGAGTGAAAGAGGGAAAGTTAAGTGTAGTTCAGAGTGGAATTTGAAAGTGAAAGTGAAAGTGAAAGTGAAAGTGAACTGTATCCCAGACGCTGGCAGGGAAATGAAAGTGTTGTTATAATCGCACTGAGTGTGTTGTTAGTAGCTCTCAAAACAGTGAGATTATAAACTAATCACTAATCGCACTGTTTTGTTGAGAAATGAAATGACGTCATCCGCTGACTCTCTCTCGGGGTTGATTTGTACAATCTACCATCTCAACAGATAAGAAAGTCAAATACAGATAAGAAAAGTAAACATAGGATAACAGTCCGATGCTCCTGTTACGTGATTGGTCGGATCTGGATCACGTGACGTAACGATTGCTATTGGCCGCTAGGGAGGGACGGACAAGAATCGGCCCGCTCATAATATAATCCAGTAATTGTGATAACTGTTTGAACGTTTTGCTTGCCTGCTGTGTGTTCCCTTAATTGATTCTGTTTTCGTACTCCGGCCTGCAATTAAGGTTAGCACAATTGACGGAGCTTTGTTATAATCTACCGGGTTATATGATCTTATGATGAACCCTTTACAGTTGCACATCTCAGGTTTTAACTGTTTTTAAGGCTTTGCCTATTGATGTCCATTTGACCCAAAATTTAGGAATAATTGGGCTATGGGCATAGTTGGTTCGTGCGTTACTTTTCCAGGAAAAATGCATTTAGTTCGTGAAGATTTTTCGTGCGTTTAAGTGCGGTAAAGTGCGTTACCGCACAATTGACCCCCCGACAATTGACCCCTCGACAATACAATTTAATACAATTAACCCTGACCCTGACCCTGACCCTGACCCTGACGCTAACCCTTACACCTAACCCTAACCCTAACCCTAACCCTAACCCTAACCCTAACCCTAACCCTAACCCTAACCCTAACCCTAACCCTAACCCTAACCCTAACCCTAACCCTATCAATTGACCCTAGTGTAATTACATCAATTGTGGGGTGGTCAATTGTCGGGGGTCAATTGTCGGGGGGTCGATTGTCGTACTAATCCCTAGATATCGCGACAATTGACCCCAGTGTAAATACATAGGGGGTCAATTGTCGGGGGTCAATTGTCGCGGTACCCTTTTCAGATGCACTGATATTGCGCAGATTACCGTGGATATATACAAGTTTCTCCACTTTTTCCGTGCCCACGCACTGACTTGTTAAAAACAGATCTAAAAGTGCGTTTAAAAAAATTCGTGCGTAAAGTGCGTTCGGTTTTAAAAGTGCGTTTAGTGCGCACGAACCAACTATGGTTACATAGTCAAATTGACTACTCATTTAGCATTTAGCTTAACTTCCTATTGTACATTCTTGAGCCAATCTATTGTAATTTCGATATCAGTCAAAACAATTCAAACCCAATAATAAGACAACCGGAAATTAGCCCCAATTACTCAAACTTAGTTTTTAACTATTTTCACTCACGTTCAAGTCGTACTCAAGGTTGGGTATAGTCGGAGTATGAGTTGGGCGGCTCGACGTTTATGAATACTAAATCTGAGACTCAGGAAAACCTAAGTTCATTTATTAGTGAGTATTTACTCAACAACTCCTTAGTTTTTATGCATGACCCCTAATATAAGATTCATCACTCGGAGGAAGGTGCTAATGTCACTTCTAATAGCTGGATGTTTAAGTGAAACAAGATATCTCCGCTTCCCCACACGGCTCACCGTCCTAAACCAACAGCTAATATCATCAGAAATATCTTCGCACTTACTGACGAGATAGTTATCACTCTATAGTTATCACTCTCTTTGCTGACTAATGACATTCCAGGACCACAATTTCCACCCTGCACCTGCCCAAGATTGGGATCCGGGCACTTTCTTAAATCCTTCGGTAATAACTAATATATATATAATAACTAATAAGAGTCGTCTCGTGTCTTTATAATCCCTCTCGTCTCGTGTCTTTATAATCCCTCTCGACGGAGTTGGTTTTGCTGTCTGTTTTGCAACGTTCCGTTTCATTTGTGCGTTTTTATACAGACTAATTCTTCCAACTCTGTATCAACAAGAATCGTTTTAATTTCATACTCCTGCACTGCTTTTCAATTAAACACGCGGCTAAACGCATCCGTCAATGCTTATCTGTCAATGTTCGGGAAAATTAGTTATATTGCATCTCAACACGTTCAATATTTAACAAACTAATCCATGTTTGAAGTTAACTTGTTAAGTGTTAACTTGATACAGTTGGAAAGTATTAATTGGAATGTGGCTGTCTTGGTCTGACCAGCTCCTAACAGCATGCCGGACATATTTTAGTTTGATTTACATTAAAAATATAGTAGTTCATTTGTCACGTTATATTGAAGATTATCTCCTAGTTCTAGTCGAGGGAACATGTTGTTTCATTCAACAAATAAGTGGACATAAGGTGACCTAGAATTTATAGTTATCAAACATCCCTTGCTTCTTTCCGCCAACTCTGTAATATTTCACTCGATCTATTTAATTGCATATTTAAGTTAATTCTTGCAGACTTTGCCTTGTAAATTTCAGGTACACAATATGAACCGATATTTACCAAATTCAAATTACAGTACTTAGATTTAGCTAGCTAAGTGCGGGCAGGTGAGTGAAGTTTGATATAGGCCGACATGTTGTTTCATTCAACAAATAAGTGGACATAAGGTGACCTAGAATTTATAGTTATCAAACATCCCTTGCTTTTTTCCGCCAACTCTGTAACATTTCACTCGATCTATTTAATTGCATATTTAAGTTAATTCTTGCAGACTTTGCCTTGTAAATTTCAGGTACACAATATGAACCGATATTTACCAAATTCAAATTACAGTACTTAGATTTAGCTAGCTAAGTGCGGGCAGGTGAGTGAAGTTTGATATAGGCCGCGCTAATGTTCAAATGTTACGGGAACAGTATTTTACATAATGACCCTAAAATACAGCCCGGCAGCTGGGAAGGCGTATTTTAAAGTCTGGTACTGCCTAGTGTGTGCCCTTTATGTATCTGTGGTGGGATGTTGAGATGGTGCTTAACTAAAGTGTGCATAATCTGTCATCAGAGGGCAGTGAATTTGTTTCTTTAAATTGTAGACATTTTAAGTTCAACTGCTGTTAAATAAGAGTTGCGTCTGAGGGTTAAATCAAAATATTCTTGAATATTATTTTGCTACGTCTGAAACGTCCGTAGATAAACGTTTACTTGTTATGTTCGTACGAACCTACGTACGAACCTACGTAGGTTAATTTAAACGTTTCGAATTTATTAGCGTTGAAACATATCCATCACTCTCCAAATCTGTGAACTCAAAATTGTAAGTACCATGAGTCATGACGTTGTTAATTGTTTTAGGACTCCGCGGTTTCTGATATTGAATCTTCTCCTCTGTAGGGGCTGATAAGACTGCACGTGCTGATAAGTCTGCACGTGCTGATAAGACTGCACGTGCAAAGCGCGCAGTCTACAATTACAAGAGGAAGAGTCTGGACAGTTTGAAGAACAGAACGTGTGCTGTCCTGCTCGCTGCAGATCACCTCTTCTTCGAACATATAGGTATGTAATTCTTCTCCTCTTCTTGTAATTGTTTTTGCTTGATGATAAGTTTAAACCTTTTAATGTAAAGTCTACCATTTTCTATGCTGTTTCATTATTTAAAGTTATGGAAATATTGTTATCTATTTATTTTTGATTTGTCTTTTACTACTTAAACTACTACTAGTTGTCTTTAACTTCTACTTCAAATTTTGTTGCTTTTAATTTATTGGCGAGTAATAATGTAATACTAAGGAGAGAAACTCGGATAATTTATATTCTATACCTTAAATGGTGAGAATTGTTGATAAGAATTTACTTTTTTGTACATAGCATTAATTAATATGCACCTGAGATAAATGCAAGTATCAGCCGACATTAACAAAACCTCCTGCTCAAAGTCTTTAAATTAATTGCATTTATTGCAGACTTATTAACTATTAAATTAATTAAATTTGATATTTATATCGGTAACTCCTCTGTGAGCGGAGTGGAATCTTGCCATTGAATTTTTTATTGTTCTATTTGTTAACCCGAAGATTTTCATTTCAAGATCTGATCAAAATTCAAAATGAGATTTTGTTTAAATCCCCACAATATTCTTCTTCCTCCGCATAACGTAGCATAGGTAGGTACTGTAGCTGTTATCACGATAATATTATGGTCTCTGTGAATTACAGTACTTGCCACAATTCTTTTGAAGTGCTAATTTATACGTTGACATCTTCATACCGACAAAATGAACTAATGAAATTGCAACATTTGCTGTGAAAGTGAAAAGGATTATGTGAGAACAAAGAAAAGTGCATTATTGTAAAGTGTGAATTGTTATATAATGTGCTTGAAGAGGACACGTAATCAAATATCCAGAGAAGACGTATATAATTTATAGAATCTGTATTAAACCTAACTTAACTTACAAATACTCATGAATAATAATTTACAATAGTCTATAATTCACTGACTTCTGAATTCAATTTAAGGTATCCCAATTAAGCCCAAGTGCTTTATATATTCTTAATATTCCTAGTGTTTCCTAATACAGTAAAACCTAACTTAACAGATACAAATATTCATGAATGATAATTCACAATAATCTATAAATATAATTTACTAACTTTAAATAAAGGTATCCCAATTAAAGCTAGAGGGGGGGGGGGGGGGTGGGGTAAACACATATTTTCCAGTTTTCACATATTCGAGCTTTTATTTTAAAGAATTAAAGCAAGTCCTTCATATTATTATGGAGCCAGGGTGTGGACTGGCTACACCTGGTTAAAGAACTTCCATCCCAGGACCTGAGACTTGGCACAGGTGTTCCTTGGATGAATACCCAAATAACTTATGTAACAGAATTTTGAATTTTACCTTTGTTCTTGAAAGATGGGTGTGGCCAGTCTTTTCCAAAAGTTGGGGTTTACGCTATAATGTTCAGGAGAGCAATAATTATAAGTCTAAGTTTTACTAGTAATAACAGGTAAACCTCAAACTTTGGCGGGCTATTGAATGCAGTTTTTTTTCTACATGTTCTTTTCAATGCATTGGACTTTATTGACTTCTTTTTTTATCAAGTCAATAAAGTCCACTGCATTGACCGGAGTCAACCCATATCTTAACGTAAAAGAAGGGTGAGAAGCGGCTTCCCTCCTCTTCGGGTGCTAAACAATTTGGAATCTGAGGAATAACTGCTCGAGACATCTAGAAGAAATCACCAGACCTGGACAGAGTATGTCTTCAGGGCGAGCCTGCAATACCGATTCCGACGATTTTGATAGCATAAGACGTATCAACTTTAGGGGAGACGTGAAGACTGAGGAATCTGGTTTCATATCCTGAGAGTACAATTCATAGAATCTGTATTTTTCTTAGGACGACAAAAAACTAAAATTGTCGAAAAATATTCGAAAGATCTGTCAGGAAAAAAAAGAAAATTTTCGGGGAGAAAATTTAGTGAATTTCGGGAGAAAGGAATTACCCGCAGTAAATCGGGGTTTGCGGTAAATCGGGGTTTTACTGTATTCTTAGTGTTTCCTAATACTTAACCCTTATGTTTCCACTTCCAGGTAAAGGAAGTCGAGCAACCACAACTAAAGAGCTCCTGCTGCATCTTTACGAAGCGAACAAGATATACCGTTCTACTGACTTTGATTTTGACGGCCGAAGTGACAACATTGGCTTCGCAGTGGGAAATGTCACCATCTTCCAACACGAAAACATGGCTGAAAACAAATTCTTCGGTGAGTTTATAGTTTCTTAGCTTATAGTTTCTTAGCTTATAGTTTATAGTTTCTTAGTAGCGCTTTTCAGTTCGATGAACTGTTGGAATTTGTAGTGATGCGTCAGTTTCCCAGGGCACACTTTGCGAGTTCACATATTCCTATGCTATTCTAGAACGAATTAAAAAAATTCTTATATTATAGATATGTGACTTCTCAGTAATTATGAACCTACCTTATTACTGCTGAAAACAACATGTAACCCAACTTTTTAATATCGAACTTAACTTTATAGCTTTAAATTTCATCAGCTTTGTTCGGTTTATTTTCAACGTGACGAATGTCTAAAAAATGACAAATCAGTCGATTATTGGTGAAATACTATCATGCCGTCCTGGATAAATAGCCTAATGATATCTTGTCAACATTTGATAAGCTTACAGCTACAGTAATGTCAGGCTGTGCACTGAGCATCAAAGGACAGCTCCTAAATTCCTCAGACTGTCGCTCAATTCCTGCATTTATAATAACATGTCTTCACCGACTACACCTGTGGCAGATTCTTCCAGTGCATCTGTTCGAGAAAATTGTGAATATTATTGTTGATTATTTCGCTTGCCCAAAAATTGTCACGTGACTTGATTTTTTACGGTTTTGCAGCCGAACAAAACGGCTTTACATAAACCCTAACCCAAACCATGACCCTAACCATAACCCCGAAGCTAACTATAACCCTAACCACAACCCTAACCACAATCCTAACCCTAAATAATCGAATTTGCGTTTTATTAACCTGTCACGTGGCCAAAACAGTTTTTTGTCCATAACTCCTCAGGGAAGCGTTTTTACCATACGTCGTAGGTGTGATTTGGATCAGCGTCCAAAATACATCGAACTATGTTACTTTCGTACCCTTAGGGCTTTTTCACAACAATTTGGGTGATCGCGAGCGATTTAGTGGATCGGTTATATTATATTATTGTTAGTCAATAGTCACGTCCAACTCGCCACTATATTGACTTGGCAACGTCTCGATTTCCACGGATATTCTTATCCTCCATCTCCCAATGCTAAAGCTTCATTCCATATCTGGTATTTTCACAGTTTTATAATATTATCAGTCACATTTTTGTGTTAAGTTATTTATAAATGGTTGATATGAGTCATGTCTTCATGTATATGACCGAACTTGCAACTTTAATAGAGTACTAATGGAGTACATGATTAGTTCGTCGGGATTTTTCTCAATCCTTAGATGCGTTCAATTTAAAGTTGTACGCTAGGAATCTTTAAATCTTGAGTGAGAGCCGGTTCTTCAAGGCAAGTGAGTGAGAGCCGGTTCCTCAAGGCAAGTGAGTGAGAGCCGGTTCCAAACGAGTTTAACTGAAAATGAGTGATTCTTTGAGTCTTTGTTCTTTATGATGCAGAGTTTTGCTCTCTTGTCAAATTTGTCAGATGTTAGTAACTTTAAATTAAAGTTCACTATCACACTTCCTCTGCTACTCTGCATGTAATAGTCAGTACGACCAAACTTTCTGTCACAAAAAATGTTTAATAATTTAATGTTAGAGTGCAGACGTCCGTAGGATTTGACAAGTAAAGCCACTGCTGCGATTCTATCTTCTTTCAACCCAGAGTAAAAATATGTATAGAATTTCTTTAAATTTTCAAAAAAAGAAAAGATTTAAAGAATTTCTTAACATATTTTTACTTTGGGTTGGAAGAAGATAACATAGCAGCAGTGGCTTCTCAAATTCACTCTTAGTTACCATAGTAACTCAAACATTATACTTTAAGTAGTTTTCCGGATTACATGATTACGCTAGGAATCTCATCGTGAGAATCCTGTAAGACATACGTTATTTCCCATAAAATCTATCAAAGTTTCATCATCAGTACTTGTCCATCCAACTTACTGTATACAGTAAGTAAGATGGACAAGTACTGATTCGTCAAATTTTTGTTAGATTATTTCAAAGTCATAAAAATATAAATGTTCAAAGAGAAAAAGATAAAAGGCGTATTATATGGAATCGCAGCTAATGTTAAGCTGTCCTCAAACCCTGTGAATTCAAACCAAATTTTCATCACCTGGAATATAGTAAATATACAGTAAAACCCTGATTTATTGCGCCCCGATTTACCACGGCTTTTTCCTTTCTCCCAAACTCCGCGTTAAATCGGAGCAATACTGTACCACCTTGATGTATTAAACAGAGCTTCCGCACGATCTGCAGCAAATCGTTTCCTGCTTTGTCAGCTTTAACAGTTTTAGTTTCCCTGCCAGGACAAATCTACTGTCCCTCTTTAATGAGCGGACAAGCTGTTTAAAGATTGCAACAGTAGCACAATATTGTGGTTATATCACCCAAGGTGTTCCATTAAAAGGAAATCTTTAGATATAAATAACTTGTCTCCTTGGCCCCACCCTGACACTCCCACACAAGCTTGCTTTCTTCGCTGTTGTCTGTTACGGTAATTTCACATATTATCATCATATCATGTAAAGTTTCGATTCTGGGGAAAATGCTTTAAGGAATATGAGGATTGTTTGCACCTAATAAGGCCTAAGCTACTGCCTTAGTGCTTTGAAAGCAACGATCCTTAAAATCGAATTGATTCGAAATTAGTGCCGGGACAAATTTTCGCTCAATGCACTCCAGCTGCGATAAAATATTATATTTTGAAATTTTGTTTCCGGTTTGTCCTGATATTGCACCCACTATATATTCAATTGCACTCAAATTGCAAGAAAAGCAGTTTCAAGTGCATTTAGATTTAAATTATTTCATAAATCCGATCGAGCATCTTCATATTCTAGCGATCGTGAAGTAGAACTGAGCATCACTGACTGAGACGATATAGATTAACTAGGTGTAATTATTTGTAATCCACAGCTCATTTTAAAGCTGAGAACGAGAAATTAGAAACTATTTGCCGTGATATTACAAGAGCGCGTTTGTGATTGTAGAATGAAGTAGTAATATGCAGCGAAGAGAATGCACCTCACTGGTTAGTCTCACTAATAAATTGTAAACAAGATCTCATTTTATTTAATGTATTTACAAAATGCAACCTCTTACTAGGGGCCTCTTACAACCTCTTGCTAAGGGGGCCCTGGTTATGTTCAATATTGAATTAGACTGGTACTATGTTCTGTGTTGTGGGTTTGTGTGTTTGAGTGTTGCTGTTAGCCAAGGGTTTATTGACTTGAAATCAGGTGGGGCAGGAGAAAAAATAGTGGTTATCGAGTTGTGACTCCGACGTGATTCTCTGTTCGCCTCGTCTGTTTTCTGTTTCTCTACTTCTCTGTAAATTTGCTAGTATAATAGACGGGCCAATCTACACTAATTCTATAAATTACTATCTGCAGCTTTTCAACTCACCTTGCCTAATCGTCCGGTATTCGTAGAGTTACATCTTATCTTCACACCGCCTTTCATGCTGATTTATAGATTACTCCTTTGTCGTTTTTTAATTTAGAGGAATGAATGTTACGAAGGAAATTTATTTCTATAATAATTTGCAGCCAATCCCAGTTTTCCTCATGGCCAAGACCCAAGTGACACCAAGCTCATTAAGTATACCGATTCATAACGATACTGAAAACTTCTGGGGTTTCAAGTTATCATTAAGTATTGCCATTGGAAAATGAAGACCTTCAGTCTTCCGTAAGGGCTGCGATCACCTTCGGATTGCAGGTTGCATGCCTATGTTTTTCACCATTTCGAGCAAAGCAAGACACCGTTTCGGTTAATAGGTAAAAGAAGTCGGTGCTGACTACTGAGTCCAATGTGGTTTTTGCCCTTCCTTTGTAAAAATATTGTAATATCGCAAAGTTAAAAGAAGTACATGAAAATATTATTTCATGTGTGTGAAAGTTAGATTCAGCGCAGTGATTATTAATTACAACTCCAGATTACTGTACCAGATGTTGCCTGTAAAGCTGTGTTAACTGCGAACAGTGAAGCTTTTTATCCCAGCCCCCCATTTAGCAGTCTCCAATATCAGTAGACACTAGGGTACTTGTTTGTACCACTTTAGTCTTTAATGTTGTCGTTGTTTCTGTTATAGTTTCTAAACATTTATTAACATTTATTAACATTAATTATTAATTAACATTTTTTGATTTGCAATAATTTCGCATTTTTACGTTTAACAGTTCAGCAGTGTCGTAATATGCATAATCCCAGAACTGTTGATTGGTCTGTACCATCCATACAGCCCCACCCTCAACATCCTCAGTAGTTCGCTTCTAGAGTCGTGATTTTGAGCTAGGAGATGGATTACTGAGTAATATATTTAACGGAGGAATGAGTCCCAATATGTCACGTGACACGTCTTCCTTTGTCATCATGCCCTTCCTCGGGTTCATTTCATTACAATAACCAGCAGCCACATTGTGTAATACATAATATAATTAGTGATGGGGGAATACGACTAATATGGTTATGCCGTATTATAGTTTTTAATTAGGATTTGCTTGTCAGACATTATTTGTTCAAGAAGATGGTTTATCGGTAAAATATCCTTCTTACATTGCAACGCAGCATAAACTTGACCCAAGAATCTGCCTACGCCCTACATGCAACAGTTGTCGCTCATTTGAATGTTTGTGATTGCATTTGTTTAGTAGATACTTCTGGGTTGAAAAGACACTTCTTACGTCAATCGCTCGTGTGATTTATTATTGTTCGATCATTTTGCTAATGAATCATTGCTGTAACGTATTCGATCAAACCAGTATTCTTACTTAACGCTGATTGGTTGAAAGTATTTTCTGGAATTAAAGAGTTCTTCATTTTTTTAAACTTCCAATCAATGTTTTATCGATTTGAACCGACTAATACTGAGTTGGCACCCTTATATTACTCTCGCACACCATTGATATAAATTCACCATACTCTTTGACCTATTAAAATTCAATCACAGCTGTGATCACCTAAAACCAGAGACAGTTTATACAATTATTAAACCATTAAATCTTGCAGCTACATTAAATCTAGTAACTGCATTATGTCATTACACTCTCCTGTTTTTGTAATTGCTCTCTTCCCGAGTGGACCCCTCTCTACTTAGAAGATATGACACTATTCACTGACAAAGAAATATAATAACCTTTATCATTACTTTCTCTGGCACTACTATCTACTGAATCTTTCTAGTATTTACATCTTTGGCACTCTTTGGTGAGCCAACCCTTTTATGTACGTTCTGGAACACTCGAATATTAATTGCATGGCGGTGAACGGGTTTTAGAAATTCATCACAGTTCAGTTTTATCGTGCTCATTATATTGCACCAATCTTTAACCATTTACGATGGTATTCCTTTGATAACTCTCTTGATTTTCAGAGCACCATCGCTATAGAGCTCTATCTCTCTATTTTGTAGTTTTTAGTGGGCACCCAATTTATAGTCGTGATCAGGTGCGCAAACATCAAATGGTTTTGACTTTTGTTGTGGCGGTCCGAATTCCTATTGTTTAACCTAACAGTGACCCGTAACCACAAACTATAACCCTGATGTAATTAACTACTTTCATGTCAAAGACATGAAGACGTTATCATGGCTCACCTAGTATGTTAGTAATGGTTTTATAAGTACGAATCTGCACAATAATTTAGAAAAGTGGCTCTGGTATCTTTCCGTGGTATTGAATCAACTATTGTTACAGAATAAACAATAGTTTAAAAGTGCGCATAATCTGCATTAGTGTACAATTGAGCCTTGGAGGGGGCCGGGCGGCACTCGAATTAGGTTATAGAATATATCCTACCTCCGTATGCTCCGTAGTTCTTTCTCCTGAGTGTCAAACGGAGAGCTGGTTTTTATTTGGGATTATGTATTTTGTTGCATAATAGAAACTTAGCACAGACACCCAGATAATATTGCAATTTCTTGTTTCTACACCTTGTCACCAGTTTATTACGCTCAGCCCTCTAAATTACAACATATTATAAGATTATACGTTAATAACACTTGACATGTTGTTATCCTGAAGGTGAAATAAAGTCTAGCAGCGACTACCTTGTGCGGTGGAGCGAATACGACCACTCCTCGTACTGTCTGGCCCTGTGTTTCACTTATCGGGACTTTGAGTCTGGCGTCCTGGGCCTAGCTTACGTCGGGGCCAAAGGTGAGAGTTGTAGTTATCTTAAATACTTTACTTCTGTGATGAGAAGCCTTACACATTTCGCGGTCGTTTATAATTTTTTGATGATTATGTCAACCTGTTTAGAGAGAGCGGTAGTATCATATATCTCACGTCTTACTGATAACAAATTGGTCTGACAGAAAGATTAGTACGCAGATGGTATCATGGAACGCGCGAGAAAACATTTTTATTGTTAAAACTGTTTTATCGTTAGCGCGAAGCGGTTACTCTTCGCGCACGCGCCGTTAATGGAAATACCGAATTATAATTTGAGGAAAAAACTCGAGACCGGGAATTTTGAGTGATAAAATTCCACGAATTCTCTTCTTTATATTATTTAACGCAGATAGAACTGGAGGAATCTGTGATCAGCGATACTCCATGAACGGACACAAAGCTAGTTTTAACACTGGAATTGTTAGCATGATGAACTTTGGAGCGTACGTGGGACACGATGTATCCTTCATAATACTATCTCACGAACTAGGGCACAACTTTGGAGCTAGTGTAAGAGCTTGTTCAATGTTGTAACTTGTTTTAACTGAATTGACTAATTAACAGTTCTTCCGTTTTTAGAGTTTACTTTGCTCAAATGTTTCCACATATTCTATCACGCGATTTACTTTTGTACTCATCTTAATCTGTAAGTGATCGGAAAATTCGATCGTTTTAACCGATATTTAATAAATGTGTGTCTAACTTTTTGCATTGCTCCTTAAAGTTATCAACACAAGTAATAATTAATGTTTTTCAGCATGATTCAGACACAAAACTTTGTACTCCTGGGTCTGAACATGGTGGTAACTACATCATGTACGACAAGGTGAGGGCAAATTTATTTATCACAAAACTCATAACGTACTGCAATCAACTGTTTATGATTCATCAATTGTTTGTGATTGATATTTTAATTTAGTTAGAGACAAAAAGGCTCTAAAAAAAGGGAAAAAAGTTAGGGAATTATGAAACTTGTCTGGGAAAAAATTGCGACAATTAGTTCTCTGCAGGAAATTGTTATCCATAGTCTCAGTAACCACCCTAAAGAGTTGTAAAGCTGTTAATAGCCCTACAAAAGCTGCAACCTTGGTAGTGCTACCAGGTTGCAAAATTCTTGGAATGAATCGTCTTCAATAGCAGAGCATTTAGAGTTCAAACGAAGAAAATATCGTGAACACAAGCATATGTGCTTTGACACGCGAAATCTGCTCGTACGGCATATCTTATTGGTGGAAACTGTAACTTATTAATTTTACTGGTTAGTAAATGCTAAATTGCTGTCATGTTCTAAAACAGCTACTTAACCCACAAACAATCAATTATTATATGCAGTGCAGTAGTAGCATGTTTTCGTGGGTAAATTTCGATTGATCACGTTTGATGCGACAAGGTAAAAGGCTCTTATCAGGAAAGAAATTATTCGACGTTTCAATGTGACAACATCGTATTCATGATCTAAAAATATTTCTATCAAAAATTCAAAACGTAAAAAACACAAAAAACATAAATCTGAGGCAAAATTAGTGTATAATTATTTACTTTTAATTCAATCAACTTTATAAAAAAATGCGATAAAAAATTCATAACAAAAATTAGTTCATACGACGACAAACTTTTATAGCAAAAAAACATACAATCCTGAAACTACTAGAAGACTAAATATACTACACATGATTATACATAAACATGGAATGCTACAACGGTAAACAAGGTAAATGATGTGAAGTGTGTAGGTATGTATCTAGTGTGAAGCAAGGGCCAATAATTCGAAAAGGAAGTATTTTATGATTTTATTGCATGAGTTCCTTCATAACTTCCATATAAACATACTAGTTGCGGTCGCGTGGCGCTATTCCAGAAGTCTCTACCACCTTCCTATCAAAAGTTAGCAAAATCGGGTAAGCATGTCAATAATTTTGTAATTTTCCGAACAACTTTTAATATCTCGATTTGTGATGATCAGAGCACTCTGAAGCCCTCATTCGTCTGCCACAATGTGATCCTTGCGGCCACCTTGCACTTTATGCAATGCTCCTGAGTGTCTTTCTAACTAGACGGTGGTTACGAGTTTTCAAATGTGTTGGTTTGGCACATAGAGATAATCTGCTCTAACCAATTTCCCCCTCAGAACTTTCCAAACTATAATTTGTGATTTGTGGGTTAAATATCTGTTTTCAAAGATGCCAACAATTTGTTTACCAGTATATACGAGCGGATATCACGTGTCAAAGCACGTGTGTTTTTTGAGCTCTAAATGCTATTTTAAGATGATTCTTGAGCTATTTCCAAGAATTTTGCAAGAACCTGTCAGTACTACCAGAACTTTCAGCTTACGTAGAGTTATTGAAACCACTAAGAATTCGGTCATTACGAGACGTCTGGGACGGTGGTTAATAAAACCTTAAAGGTTATGATATTAAAAAAAATAAAACCTTATCCTCAATTTTCAATATTTCATGGCTCTTTAAAATTTTGAAAATACTTGAATCGCTATGGTAAACATGTGAGTTAATTTACAAGACTCTTTCTTTGAAGCCAATTTGCCCGGTAAATGGAGATTTCATCAAAACCGTTAGTTTAGTGTCCAGACAAAGCATCTGACGTGTCGAACATTTTGTTTTATTATTGCAAAGCAAATAGATTCCTAATCTACATGCTTTAAGTTATTTCGAAGATGAGTTACATTAGTAGATATTACAAATCTCAGTGCCATCACATTTACACACAATCCTGATATGCGCACAATTTCTTGTACGGATAACGAGGGCATGAGTTGATGTGTTCCCACACGTGCCATGGGTATTGTCCTGCTGATACCCGCCCGAGCTTCACCGGCACTCCTGCACGTTCGAGCACAGGCTTCTTGAGGTTTGAGTTTTTTTTTTCAGAGTTATTTTTAGAATAAATATGTTTAATGCCAAGTTGTAGTTGATAGAACATCCGTGATGTGATTAGGTACACACAGTTATCGTTCATTGTGTCAACATGAGTAGAAGAATTACAGTACGTTTGTGATTTGTTATAAGTCTGTGCGCATTTGCTGTCTTATATTTGATAGGTTCCACTTTATCAATACACTTTCCAAATTACATAATCATTAATTATGTCGTAGTCATTGTTCTTATTTACTTTATTTCAGATTTTAATCAATGCATACGGGTAATACGTGACTTTGAATTCTTGATCATCAGTATTCTGCTTAGTTCTTAGTCAGTATTCATCTTTACTTGCAAATATTTGCCATTATCTGCTTCGAGCTAAAAATTATCTGAACTGGAAATTATCAGAACATTTGTAATATTCAAATGTATCTCTTCAACATTTTAGAACGCAGTACTCCACCAGCCTATAACCATCCTGGTCATGGCCAGGTAGTTCACCCGTACTGTTACCAATATTGAATTGGTCTAATGAATGGCAGCACATTAATCATCGGACCTGTTTGCCCCAGTGCCCAGACTAATTTATAACCAGATTAGCTGATTAAGTTACGTCATTCGTCCCTTGATATATTTATATAAATAATATATTTTATAGGATGTTTTTATTGCACTTATTTGCACTAACTAAAATTCAGTTAAAACTAGTCCTGGGATAGAATTTCCGCTCTTTATTGTACAGAATCTACATACAGAATCTCTTTATCAGTCTGTTTATAGATCAGCCACGAATTTCTCAAGCTAATCTAGGCGAAACCGGTTTGGAAAAGCCAAGTATAATTTCTGCACAATTTCTATATGGAATATGGATCACAGAAGGGATCAGATGGGGTTAAAAGTGAGGTCTGAGATGGCTGAAATGTGGCTAAATTAATATGCGAATGATCCCATATCGTAATGTATCACAATTTATTACGTTATGATTTGCTGACCAGCCCTTTATCAATTCTTGACAATAATTTTCTTTCAAATATAACTACTTGACACCAAGATTCTTGTTTTGTGTGTTTTCTTCGTTCGAATTAATCAAACATCGTTTAGTGTTTACTATTTTTTGTGAGGGCGACTGTAGTTTGTTCTGACATTTCCTTTTTAATTTCAAGTAAGTGATTAGGGAAATTAATTAGCCTGATTGATTGTATCGCTGACAAGTACCAAAACTTTGTGCAACTTTCAAGTCTGCTCGTAAACTTTGATCTCGTTTTCAGTAATCTTAAGTCACTTAAAGCTCGTACAAGCCAGGGAGTTTTTACTTTGTTTCATCATTCGAAGCTTAATTAGGCTTTGAAATATGAAGTGCAGTAAAAAAGCAACAGCTTGAAAAAGTTTTACAACAAAAATTTTTATTTCGCTTAACAGATCTCAAACGCAAGGAAATATTTTTAAAATCATCGATAAATATACATTTTTCCTAATTGTGGAAAGTTCATCTGATCATTGCATTTACGGTCATAGACTACTTCAGGTTGTTGATTTAAATCTTTATTTAAATCAGTACCTCACAGTAGTAGAACAGTTGTTGATAGTGGGCTCCTTGTTCCTATGGGAATATCGGGCTCTCTCTGAGCAACTGATTGATATTTCATGCCCCCGGGTGAGAGCCAGTGCTCCCCATCGGGGCATGCAATATCAATTCTGCTTTCCTGCCAAATTTGGCTCGAAAGTGTGATAATAATATTTACCTGTTAACGGTATGTAAAATCAGCATTACTGCCAAATTGCCGCGTCTTGTGACTTGTGCACTCCGCAAAACTGCCAAATATTCCACAACTTTTAGAATCTGTCGAGACTGGCTGGAAGTAGCTAGCATACCCCTCAACTATTTCAACTATTTCATGGTTTCTCCTTTAAAATTCATGGCATCTAAATACTCCTAACTCCTAAGCTAATGGTAACAATTCTAAGAGGTTAACTCCCCTGCCACCCAAGAAGGCTGTCATGTTTCCCTTTAAAAGCAGATTTCCCCAGGCTACCAATGGAGATCTTCCTCACAACAACCTGCTCAGTTTGTGTTCCAGACAAGCCATCCTGGACGTGCTTCTTACCCGCTCTAAAACATCCTGTTTTCGAGGTTTCAGCCTCGACAAAAATGACAAAAATGACGATTCCCCTTAAAATTACATGCTTTAAGTTCGATTTCGAAAGTATGCACCTGTTACATTATTGTAGATATTACAAAATGACTAGTTACCACACACAACACAAACCTCAGAAGCAGACAGTTACTGTGGTAACGGGATAAAAGAATGGGACGAGGAGTGCGACTGTGGACACAACAGTACGTGCCAGGATATAGACCCCTGCTGTACCCCCGCCGACTCCACCACCGGCACTCCCTGCACTGTTCGGAGGCACCAGGGCTTCCTCTGCAGGTTTGAGTTTTTTTTTCAGAGTTACCCTTTTTAGAAAATTTATGTTTTAATGCCAAGTTTTGGTCAGTCTGAGTGACCACGAGGCCAGGGATTAGGTAGCAAACAAATATCGGGCATTGGGTCAATATGATCGTACCCCCGAACGACATACAGTAACGTTTGTGCGACTTGTTATAAGGTTCTGCTGCAGCATTTTGCTGTCAGATTCAATATTTTGATAGGATTCCACTGTATTGCGGGAAAAACTTTCAAAAATAATAATCTATTAAATTATTGTTCGTAGTCATTGTTTTTATTTACTTTGTTCTCAGCATTTCAAATTAATGCTACGGGAAATACGGGAATTCTGTTCTTGATCACTGCACTGCTGAGTTCCGAGACATCATGCCTGCATCGTAATCTGTTTTGAAAATTACTCAACTACACGTCTAGTTCTGTTTGGCAACAATATGTGTGATCTCTACTCGAAGTCTCGCGAAGCACTTAATAAGTATTTAAGCTAAGTTAAACTTCAAAATTTCAATTTCCCCGACAGCTTATTGTCGTTATTCGTTAAGTGTCTGGGCCTTAAATATCCAAAAAACTTACCGAATCTTCCAGATTGATCCTCAGTATTTAAACTAGTACTACTGCAGAGGGAGTGGTTAATTTTATATTCAATAAATAATGATGGTAAATTCGCGTTTGGTGTAATAACACAAAATTAAAATTAAATTGTGATTTATATTTTTCTTTCAAAAACTATCGATACGAGAGCTTATGATTATAAATATATTATTTCATTGCAAATGAAGGATAGACTCGTTTTAAAAACGGGGGGAAAAGTAGTACTAGTTATCATCGACGAATATTCGAGATTTTCGTCTTATTTGGCAATGAAATGCATATTTTTGTTCCTGAACAACATTTGATCCAGACTTCCAACTGGAACTGCGTGAAAATTTGATGTTTTTATTTAAAATCTCACTTTTTCGATTCTATTTTGTTGGTCGAACAAATTGTTTAACATTGTGCGTTATAGGTCATTGGGGTAAAAATTAAATCTTGATGCTGGGAAACAAATTACAAGTTAACAGCGAATCCATTTAATGCTGGTTAGTTTGCACTGGTCAGTATTCTTTGAACCCAACCACTTCTATATTAGCAACAAGAGAAACGCCATTGTCGGACGTGAGGAGAGTACAGAGGACTCCACAAACTACATTAAATATATTCCTTGTGTAACATCCTCAATAAATGTAATAGATTTGTAGTGTTGTAATTAGTTTAAATAACAGAGCCGTTTTAGTAGGTATCCTATACTGCTCTCGTGAAATTAACCAGCATGCGTCAGAGTCTAAGTGCCCTGAAGTGATTCGACAAAAATAGTGAGGTTAAATAGGTCAGGAAGTAAACTGAATGGTCCAATTCAGGTGAAATTTTAAGGTGATCTCTAGAAAAATATCACCTTAAAGTTAAATCACTACTGCTGCTAAATGGTATGCTGCAAGTCCGGCTAATAGTCGGGTTCCGGAGAGTGAATGGTGTATAATTATGTCTCGCAGGTATGCAATAACCGCTTTTATAATATTCTGCACAATGGGACTCTCCCACATAACTCTTCATCATTTCAGTCCAGTGGACGGGGATTGTTGCACGAGTAGCTGCAGTTTCTCCTCTAATAAAACTGTCTGCAAGGAGGATGGGGAGTGTTCGGAGCTAGTACTCTGTAGATATCCTTTTGATAACTGATATAATGTGTGACACTGATAGTGATGTTTGCAATTTGTTTAGGTTGTGATTTATGTAGGAAGGGAATTTAACGCAAGAGGGAAGAGCGTCTTCGTGAAAATTACCTCGAAATAAACTTTTTAATCGTTTCTAATAGAAGTCATATCTATCAGCTGCTTTTGGTCCCATCGTTTCAGGGTGAAATCGCTGAAAAGCTGTAGGAGAGGATCGATTTTTAGACTCGATTTTCAAATTCAATACGCGCGATCAAAATTCGCTAGCGCAATACAATTTTATACACAAGTACTGACCTTTGAGCAGCGATAATTTCGGCTAGGAACAATATTTGTTTAAATACCAGACACCCCAAAATCTAAGATATTTCATCGTCTCCGTAAATGTGGACTGGCAAGATTTGGTTTAAGTAACATAAACTAAGTACTATAATTACTAACGGTTAAAATTCACGTGCCACTTGTCAAATGTTTGACTCGGTAGTTCGATAACGTAAATGAAATTGACAAAATCTAGCAAGTGGCACGTGAATTTAACCGTTAGTGTTTTATAGTTTATACTTATGTTGAGCCCCACTAATCTTAATTTTACTATTTTTCTTTGAGACAAGCAATTCAGTTGAAATCGAATCTTTGGCGAATGATCGCTGCCTAACAGTTTTGTCAATCATTATTATCTTCGTATCAAGCAGCATAACTATCTCAGCGTTATAATTTCAGGACTCTTAACATTAACTTGTTCTACCACTACCATGCAGCTGCACGTGCTTGTCAGTCCACTTCTTCAATCATTTAGCCTATTTAATGGTAGTCGGTGCCTACTTAATCTGACCGTTTCTATGATTATTTTTAACGGGTGCCATATCTCAGGTTACTCTTACAGTACGTACAGTACTTAGACAACTACAATATTATAATATGCCCATGCTTACTATGCCGTTCGGAACCTTAATCTTAGCGTAGATTTAAACCTTAGAACACTGAGAGCTCGTTTCAATAACAGCGAATGATACTCCCTCGCCTCACCAGGTCATCTTTTCTAGTTTCTACGATTGAAGCTGATTAATCATACATGCGCCGGCGCCCTTACTTTAGCATCATGGCATGGTTCCCTAAAATTACGCTCACAAAGTACTGGCCAACCTTCCAATCTGCTCAGCACCATTTCTGGATCTAAGACATCATTTACAATTACCATTTTGCGTTTTTGGCTTCTACCCGTCCCAGCATACAGCACCCAGCGCCGTGATCCAATCATCAAGCTCCATCTGGAGCCGTAGCCAATAGGAAACCAGAACAGGATGACACGTGACATCCCTAAGAAGAGCAGAAGTTGGAGCAGGTGTGGTGTGTAAGCAACCTGCCAGATAAATGTTTCGCTCCACAAGACGCGCTCCTTCATCTGTACTTGATACACTTCTCCTCTCTCTCTCTCTCGCTCGTGAGATATTATCTAATTTGCAGGTTACTCAACTAAACGTATACTTCTTGCACCTCTTCAAATACCTTCTCCAAGTGGCCCCGAGTTAGCGAGTTTTATAATCCACCTCACCGTCTTTGTGGGTTGGTTTGCAGTTATTATAGGTTACAGCTGTTGTTGGGAAAGTTAAATGCTCCATCTTAAAGAATGCTATGTTACAGTTGTTGGGAAAGTTAAATGCTCCATCGTGAGGTTACCAGGTTACAGTTACCAGGTTACAGTTGCCAGGTTACAGTTTAATGTCCCATCTACAGGTTACAGTTATAATATGCTGGTCAATAGTTTCTCTCTCTCTCTCTCTCGTAGTTTAACATGCGTCATATTTGTAATTGTCGTGGTATGTTGAGATGCTGGCGCGGGAGTTCATGCTAATTGGCCCGGCTGGTGTCCCACTGTTAAAAACAGAGACTGCCTATCTTACTTCACCTCCGTCACAGTTTTAATGCTGCGTAGTTAACACCATGTTCTAGATTTGGTTACTAAGCAACAGTTGCTAGGTTACAGTCCAGCCTACTCAGCAATTAGTGGCTCAGCCTCAACATGTCCACACTCTAGTTAAACTGACACTCCGATGGTAACACCACTATAACAGGCACAGATAGCAGGTACTAGGTAGGTAACTTAGCAGGTTCTGCTATTTCCTAGATGAGGTACAATTAACCCCTGCTCGCTGCTCGTCTCCCGCGCCAACCTCCCCTTACCTCCGTCAGGCTTCCCTCATCTTATGAAGTTGGGTTCAAAATGTTGGTTCTGTCATCACGGTTCCTTTAGAATGCAAATACACGTTTTCTTAGGATAAATATGACTGTTTGGATGTAAATTTGCATGAAGGCGAACCCAAAATATTTCAAATATTTAGGTGCACCCAGAATATGTAGGATGGTTACCAGCTAACTATATAGTACCGGTGACGACCGTGGAGTTGTTCATCTCTTTCCGGGAATTTGTTGTTAAGGTTGTTAAGGATGCCTAATTCCTGGAAAGAAAAATTTGTTGTATATGTTGCTATTATATTTGTTACAGATTGGGTAGTAATTAGTGCCTGTATAGAACGTTCACCCCGCATCACTTTTTATTTGTCATATCCGCGAGTTATTCTTTTAATCGAAACATGTTTATTTGTCAGTAAATACTGACGTTCACTTTAAAGTTTAAAAGGGCTCCTAATATGTAAAGCTGCTTTAGGAAATAGGATCTCCAAATAAGCTGTCAAACTTTAAAGAGGCATACAAATTCAAGGGAATGGGGGTTACATATACCTAGGTTTTGTCCGACGTAAATTCTTATATATAAGATCAGACAAAATCTTCCAAATCTATTTTCCTTAACCGAAGCACACTGGTGAGAGTGGAGAATGTGGTGCCTCGCAAAGTAAAGGTCTGTTAACCCTGTGTAACCAGGACCAGAACACCTGTACACAGGACGGACGCTGCCAGGTTTGTCTCTTTGTTTGTTTGTTTATTAAATTAATAATCCTTGAGGTTGAGATATTTAACGTTAGGGTGCGCTATGATTATGAACTCTCCCTGAGGTTGAAATATTTAACGTTAGGGTGCGCTATGAACTCTCCCTGAAGTTGAGATATTTAACATTAGGGTGCACTATGAACTCTCCCTGAGGTTGAAATTTTATAAGAGGTCGTACAGCATGTGTTTTTAATATGTTTTCAACATACCCAAAGTCAAATTTATGGTTGATTTCGGGGAGAACCCCTCGCCCGGTTACACTGTTACAGGTCACTCCATTTCTTCAAACTAAGTCGCTTGCAATAAATAAAGTTACGACGGAGTTGTTTGAAACTAAATATTATACAATTAATGGCGTAATTACATTGTGACAGATGCAACCCTCCCTTGCGGGTTATTTAAATAAAAATTTAATACTTTCCAGAGAGCCGAAACCCATAAATTTCCGACCAGTGCAAGTGGGCGGTAAGATAGTGCCAAAGATATTTAACAAGGGTGATTTAACGAAAAATTTGAATTCATTTGAAACGTAAGTGGTCCGTACCGCTCTTTGTAGAACGATTTAAATTACGGCAATTGATTCATTTTAAGAAAGAGTTACAGGAGTACAGAGGAAAATTGTGCATTTAACGATTATAATTTGAATCATTTCAATCGTGCTCACTGCTCAATGAGAATTTCAATCAATAATTTTATCTGGCTAGCAAATTAAAAGATATAAAAACACCTGGCAGCACACGAATATAAAAGTAAGAAACAATGCCCATAAATCAGTTGCCAGAAAATATCGTTTTTCATCAAGTTGTGCACCAACTAATCTTTCCTCATCCTTTGATACCATCATGGCCACCAGCCAACTCCTAACCAGTAACCATATCAGGTAAACGTAAATTCATTATAAAGTCAAATGTTCGCAAAAAACCAACCCAAAATTTAGATTGTATCATGAACCTTTGCTATTGCTTAATTCTGACTTTATTTGTGCGATCTACGGGTATAGAGTAATGACTTGAGACGGGAATCTGACGCTGCCACGGAGCGTGGCAAAACCAACATGCGTCACCCTATTCATAGTCTCATGTTCAGTAGTAGTATGTCTACTTTTATTGCTGGTGATATTAGCAGAACGATTTTGGTCTGAATTGGGTGGATTTTAATATGATCTCTTTGATTAAAATTTCGACGAGATTCGATTTCCCTTGAATAGTAATGAACAAGTGTCGCGCAGGTTGAAACGCTATAACTATAAAACCGCTCCATCTGAAAGTCTGAAGTGTTAACTACTGAAATTCACGTGCCAGGCATTTAAACTTCTAGAGACAGTCTCATAATCTCATAGTGAACTCTGGCCGCTATCTCGTCCAATTTCAAGGTGTGGGAATATTAATGAGATCGTTCGGTAACCGGCGCTTCTGGCGCCTCTGAGCGCTACAACCAGGTCTAAAGTTTACGAATACAACAATTAATCAGAACATTATAGTGAGATGTGCTTTACTCCAGTTACCGTGATCTACCTGGCAACTTCCACATAGTTACCAACTGCTCGATACCTGATGAAATTGGAGTTGCTCTTAGTGGTTTTTAGTCGATTCATTTTCTCCCGAATAGAATTATCATAGCAATGAGTGCATGCTTAAAGAACATTATCATAATATTCAGCTCCAACCATCTCCAGCCTTTGGTTGGTTCTGGTGTGATTAAAATGTCAAATAATTGCAAGCGTTGTCATATTATGATAGTTCGAGATTATTTGTCAACTATCTTGGTGTTTATAAATACCATGTGACTGTGTTGCCATGTGACTGATTTGTGTTTCTATTTTTGGGTCTTGTACCTACTGCGGTTATAAATCTGTCAGCGTTTAGCGGTCAGTACCAATAAAGTTCCTTACTTAGGAGCACCTTTACGGCATGTTACCTTAAAGACAGTTTGACTTTGATGCTTAAGCTAAGCCTTTCAGCGGTTAAGTAGATTCCTCGAGAGATAGATTTATATTGGACATAACTCCCGGGAAATATGTCATAATATGTCATAAATATTAATAACTAACCACAAAAATGAATATAATATCATCGGTGTATAGCGTCCCATCCGTGCTACTATCTAGGGTTACCGAATAGTTTAGAAAATTCGGTACTTGGTGTTCGGCCGAATAGTATAAGTAAGCGATTCGGTTGACTGAATATATTCGCTATTCGGTGATTTGGTATTCGGTTTGATCGAATATTGGTTGATTCAGTATCCCTCGCACTGCTAACCCCCTCCTACTCCTACTCTTAACCCCTCTCCTCAGGGTAGCGTATGTCAGCTGGCAGGACTAGAAGGGTGTCAGTGTGAAGAGGAGGAACTCTCGTGTGATGTGTGCTGTGTTGTCATGGAGACGGGAGTGTGTACTTCTACCCGGTACCTTGACTACTTCAACCATACTCACCAGGTTCGTGACTTTACTGATTGGGCGTATTTAAAACAAGGCTGAACACTATATAACGGACTACGACCGAGAACTGTTCAGACCTGCATAACTCCTTAACGATCTTTATTATATCAATGCGACATCTTAAGTTAAGTTTCATAAGGAATTGATATTAAAATATAGTATTTTATTTTGATTTGACGGCAGTTCTTCTGTGATATGATAAATACCGTGCTAGCTTTGCACGAAATAAATTAAGTGTTCGAGTTGCAAGCCGCAAGGAGACTTTGGAGGGAATTCATAGTTTTGATCTTATTTCGACTTGAGCATTACTACTTCCCCTACTGGCGCCCACTCCCTAACTGACCGATACCCGCAGTTTCGCAGTTGTATTTTACCACCGATGGAATCTCCGGGACAGTTAACTTTGCAAGTTTGAATTGCCCATTACCACTCAATTTCACGGAATTAGCCCAGATTTGACAATATGGTGGCAGTTTAGTAACTTACCCATTAGCCACTGGACAACTTCTTGTCATTTAACGGCTGAACTCTCTAAAGGGACACGCCTTTTAAACGTCACTGTTCAGTAACCATTTTTTTCACTGGTTTAGCACTCCCTGGGAGGCGAACTTATATTTAGTAATAGTAAAAAATAGTCTATTTTTTATTAAATATAACTTCGCCTCCCGGTTTAGCGTCCTATCCCCTACCACTGCCCCCTTCCTCCTCCACTATTTGTAAGCATTTGTAAGCATAAATATCACCCTTCTCCCCCCTCAGGGAGCAGGACAAGCATGTCTAGAGTATTCGGGATATTGTAATGAGCAGCACAGGTGTGTCACCATCAACCTTAACGTGAGTATATCTTCTTTTTCTCCCAGTTTTGTATAGAACAGTCACTGTTCAGTGGAGTATTGAAGAGTTTTGCTTTTTGGATGTTTTATATCAAAAGAATTGGATCATTTTAGGGACACCTATAATTAAGAGCACTTTACACACTGCAGGCAGTTGTAGTCCACTAGGTTTTGAGTATAATAAAAGCAGGACATAGAGTTCCGACCTTGTTCCTTAGTTAACGTTTTAGCGGGGAAATAGTTGCCAGTATTACTACACTGATTTATATATAGCTACTAGATTGGAGCAGAGAGATCATGTCTGCTGTTTTTTGACAAAAGGGCCTAAGGACCACTCAAAAATCCGAGATTTTAAAGCACTTTTGACAAATTTTAGGTATTTTCAAAAAGTATTTCTGGGGGCCGGCGATTGGTTTTAATGGTTTCTGATGGTTTTCAGGGATAGTTCTTGGCCCAAAAAAGAAATTTGGGTTAAAGAATTCAGAATTTTAAAAATGGTCTTTAAGCACATTTGTCAGAAAACGGCAGATGTGCACGGCGCTGGTAATGTGTCGGGTAATGGGATTGGCAGTGTTTCGACGCGTGAACCCTGATTAACCACTTGTTCTACGGTTCATTGTCGAGATAGTTCGTGTTTGCGAACTCAATACCAACTCTATACTAGTTCTGGGATCATCCTTGTTCACTAATCTCAAGGATACCAATTGACAAGCGTTCGAGCTTATAGCTTATTATTAGTTGTAATCTAAGGCAATCCTTGCTAGCCCGACTGATAATCTATAGACTTCTTCGAGGGAGTCTATAATCGAGTCAAAAGGTTTTGCACAGAAAGTTTTATCTTTGTTGTAACTTTTTGTATTTCTTATTTCTTATTTCCATTTGATAATTTCTTCACCTTGGAACTCAGTTTTCTATAAGTATATAAGAGCTTTGTGTGATAATCGCCAGGCTACTAGTTGAAGTTACGTATTTCTTTTTAATGAGCCTCTTTTAATGGTACTATACTGAGTACCTATACTGAGTAACGCAATCTCGAGATTTGCAGTTTTAGAAAAAGGAACAATTAATTGCGTCTTTGTCAGTGTTAATACTGTGCAGTAAGTAGCTTTAACGTCAGAATAAACGCCAGCTCATTTGTCAACAAAACTTTCAATTTGTCGAAAAAATCAATCATTTCGAGTTTCGACTATTGATGTGTTAATTGTCAGAAATTCAACTAATACTCCTGTGAAGATTTGTAACTTTATACTTTTATACTTACTAGCAGGAACCCGTATAACCCTAAAATGGTGTCAAGACTCAAGAGACTAATATAATTATTACCTATTTAATTCGCGTTTTTGACACCACTTGGGGTACCAAATTTTGGGCTCTAAAACTACTATTTCTTGGCCAATTTTTTATTTTTTTATGCTGATTTGAAGGCCATTAAAGCATTTGACCCAGTCAAAAAAGTTTCAGTTGTATATCTTTTATGGTTTTTGCGGAAATTCGCGTTAAAGTTGATGCCGTGGTGTCAGTAAAATGGCACGGAAAACTATCGTCTCACTTTATATATAGTAAGATATACCGTCGTTTCTGCGTGGCACGTGCCACTTGAACGTGTGGGTTATAACTAAACTGTTTTGGTACCACTTCCAGTATTTTATTTACTGAATAATTTGGCATCTTTATGATACATATGATTATCAGTAACAGCAAGATGTTTGAGGTCTTCAGGCGAAGTAGGGAAACTGAGACGCCAATATTATTTGTTGTATTAGGTCGGTTTATCTTAAATAAAAATACTAAAACACGTGCGTGCAGAGACACGGTGCACTACTTTTACCATAATTATCCTGTCTCCGCGATCCATTTCAACTTTTCACAGCTTCGAATTTTTTTCTGGTTTGTTGTGCGGCTTTCTTAGCTCATAGGTAAAATACTGGCACTTTTATTCCATTTATATTTTTTGAGTCCCGATTGTTTGCCGGAACAGTGACGCTACAATCGCTACATTCAACATATAATAGTCAATTTTCGTCAATCTAATTGGTAGAATATTTTACGCGGAAATTTGCTCAATTTAGATTAAGTTAAGTAATGTGCTAGAATGTTAGTAAATTCTCTTCATTCCTGTTAGTAGTATGATAAAGTTACTTAGTTTCCTGCTCTTCGTTACTCAGTCTATTTTTTTCCTTCCCCGAGACGCCCTTAATAACGTGCTGATTTGTGTTCATTCTGATCTAACGGATTCATTTAGTTTTACTTCTATGATCTATTGTAAATATATTGTATGAGAAAACTCCACATCTTACTATATATAAAGCGAGACGATATATATATATATATGTGTATATATCCGTGCCATTTTACTGACACCACGGCATCAACTTTAACGCGACTTTCCGCAAAAACCGTAAAACATATACAACTGAAACTTTTTTGACTGGGTCAAATGCTTTAATGGCCTTCAAATCAGCATGAAAAAATAAAAAATTGGCCAAGGAATAATAATTTTAGTGCCCAAAATTTGGACTCTCAAGTGGTGTCAAAAACGCGAATTAAATAGGTAATAATTATTTTAGTCTCTCGAGTCTTGACACCACTTTAGGGTTAGACGGGTTCCTGCTAGTCTTAGGAATGCCTTAGATTCTTAATGCTTTAATGGACCATTAACTACCAACATTCTCGAATTTCACCATGGTGGAAATCAAATGGCGAAATTGAATTCGGTATTATCACCATTTCCTCCTACTCCAGTAGCAGGCAGGGGTTGAGTGTGCACTTCGCTGCATAGAGTTTTTTGCTACTGACTTAAATAGGTCATTGGTAACTTAAATCACCGAGGGGCACATTTTGTATCGCTAGTCCCAGTCCTACAGGGCGAAATTTCTAAATTGCCCTCAGTCGCAAATTTGGGATTTTTGTATCTCGGCTTCTAAAAGACTTAGAGACTTGAATATTGGCTTAAAATAACCGCAATAGCCTTATTTATATACAAGTTATGAAGCAATATAAGGTCTCAAGTGCCTAGTTTTAAAGATAGACGGGTTCCTGCTAGTCTTAGGAATGCCTTAGATTCTTAATGCTTTAATGGACCATTAACTACCAACATTCTCGAATTTCACCATGGTGGAAATCAAATGGCGAAATTGAATTCGGTATTATCACCATTTCCTCCTACTCCAGTAGCAGGCAGGGGTTGAGTGTGCACTTCGCTGCATAGAGTTTTTTGCTACTGACTTAAATAGGTCATTGGTAACTCAAATCACCGAGGGGCACATTTTGTATCGCTAGTCCCAGTCCTACAGGGCGAAATTTCTAAATTGCCCTCAGTCGCAAATTTGGGATTTTTGTATCTCGGCTTCTAAAAGACTTAGAGACTTGAATATTGGCTTAAAATAACCGCAATAGCCTTATTTATATACAAGTTATGAAGCAATATAAGGTCTCAAGTGCCTAGTTTTAAAGATATTCACGAAAAACTGTTTTTTGGCTCATCGCAGCCTGAATAACCGGATTATTTTTGTATCTCGAGCTATAAATGTCGTAGAAACTTCTCCGATACTGAAAAATATTCGCAATGAGCACATTTATATAAGACTTATGAATCATTATATTATGCTCTAAAATGCTTATTTGTAGAGATATTAGCAAAAATCGGTAATTTTGGCTACACCAATACAAATTTGGTAATTCGTTTTGTCTTTTTGTTGCAAATTTTCACGTTGCAATTTTCAAGATGCGGTTTCTGGCTATCGATAGGGCTTTATATGCTATTGTATGGTTTTGATACAATCCTTCAGCACCTGACATAGGCAATAGGGGTCACAAACCCTGAAATGGGGAAGACTGCTGAAAAAGGAACTTAAAAAAGAGCTATGTTATGCAAAGAATCAGCATTACCATATTGTGCAATGTGCATTACCAGTACTCCAGCATTATCAGTGATCTGGGGGCCAATATTTTGGGACAGTAGGACTGAAAACTTACAAACTTGCTTGCTGAACACCTTTACCTTAAAAGTAGCGAAACCAGATATTGCTAAATCTAGAGATATTGCTGGACTGTAGTCCCTTATTAAGCCTACAGTTAAACAGAAGCGAAATGACTGAACTTGAAGTAATAATGAATCTCAAAGAGACAGATGGACACTGAACAGGCAGATAATATAGAAGTTATAAACCTGATTGATGATACTAACGAAGAGCCAATTTAAGCCAAGAGTACGAATGCCCTTGTCTCTAAGGCCCAAAGTCATTGTGATTTGCGGCTTATGATCGATAAGGCCCACTGTCACTCAGGCGTGAGGTTCTGGGGCACATAACCTGAGCTACAAATGGATCAGAAGTTTTACTCAACGTTCAATACTGGTTTAAGATGTCCAACTAACCGTTAAAAAGATGTATGTGAGTCAAGAGTTCAAGTAATTATCAAATATTTATCTCGGCCACTGCACCCAGTTCCTGACATTTCAGGGTTTGTGACCCCTATTGCCTATGTCAGGTGCTGAAGGATTGTATCAAAACCATACAATAGAATATAAAGCCCTATCGATAGCCACAAACCGCATCTTGAAAATTGTAACGTGAAAATTTGCAACAAAAAGACAAAACGAATTACCAAATTTGTATTGGTGTAGCCAAAATTAAAAAACAGTTTTTCGTGAATATCTTTAAAACTAGGCACTTGAGACCTTATATTGCTTCATAACTTGTATATAAATAAGGCTATTGCGGTTATTTTAAGCCAATATTCAAGTCTCTAAGTCTTTTAGAAGCCGAGATACAAAAATCCCAAATTTGCGACTGAGGGCAATTTAGAAATTTCGCCCTGTAAGACTGGGACTAGCGATACAAAATGTGCCCCTCGGTGATTTGAGTTACCAATGACCTATTTAACCCGATTCAGTAGCAAAAAACTCTATGCAGCGAAGTGCACACTCAACCCCTGCCTGCTACTGGAGTATCCATTCAGGTGAGCGATTCTGATGATGCGAATTTTAGACATTTTACGTTTTGCTCTAAATTTCAATTTCACTTCGAATTTCTTTTCCACTTAAAACTAAATGTTCACATAAATTTGACTGTCACTTTATTGTGACCAGTTCACTCTCTCCCCAGGACCCTCTCTCCAGTCATTCACTGTCACTTTATTGTGACCAGTTCACTGTTACTTTATTGTGACCAGTTCACTGTCACTTTATTGTGACTAGTTTCCTCTCACTTAATTGTGACCAGTTCACTGTCACTTTATTGTGACCAGTTCACTGTCACTTTATTGTGACCAGTTCCCTCTCACTTTATTGTGACCAGTTCACTCTCTCCCCAGGACCCTCTCTCCAGTCTAGAAGAAGTGTTTAGTGAGAGGTCCCTCTCCAGCGCTATAAAGTGGATCAAGGAACACTGGTACTACAGTCTCAGTAGTCTAGCAGGGCTCATCGCTCTTATTGTCATGTTTAAGGTCAGTGTTTCATCAGGGATTTGATTAGTTAAAAGCTATTGAAAATTGAGTTGTTGGTTTGTTCATGTCCAGGTTTGACGACTGAATTTTCTCACAACATGCGTGGAATACTTTGTTAAGGTAGATGGATATAGATATGACGCACCGCTGGTTGATCGTATCGATAAGCCATGCTCACTTTAATAGCACAGACAATTCCTTTCCTCATAAGAGTCTTTTCCTTGTCGCATCAAACGGGATCAATAGAAATTTACCCAGAAAACATAGTCAAATTACGGTAAATTGAGATTTTAAATGACGTGATGTGAGATGTCGTAAAATCAAAGTTAAAGTTTTATTAACCCTTTAACTTAAATTGCATTGGATATTGTAAACGACAGCTCTAGACACATTTTAGCGCTATTAACACTTTAATATTTTCATGCAACAATTCTCAGTGGTTGTTTAAGAGTTTTGCTCGTAAAGAAATTTGATGGGTCGTCGAAAAATGTAACTTAAATTGCCTCGGATGTTGTAAACGACAGCTCTAGACACCTTTTAGCGCTATGAACAATTTAATATTGTCATATTGTAACAATTCTCAGTGGTTGTTTAAAAGTTATGCTCGTTAAAAAATTTGATGGGTCGTCGAAAAATGTCGCGCCTAACCAAAGCTCGGATTCTACTGGCCGGATATCGTAAACTCCACCCACATCAGTTGCAGGAACTACAAACCATTTAGTCCGAGGACCAATCTCAGGCAGGACAGTGACGGTATAAATACTTCCTCCTGTTTAGCGGTGCATCACTTTTCTCAACTCTGCTTCGACACTTATATCTCAATATTCTAGGAGAAGCGTGCCCGTGATTTGTTAGAATTGTTAGTAAATTGTAGATATGGAGTTGGGTACTTGCTTTCGAAGCCAGCTGATAATGTTATACCTAACTTTTACAGTATACATACGTCAGACGAGTGCCAATACGAAGAGCGTTAACAAGGGTAAAATCAACGTTCCTAAAGGAAGCTGATCAGATGGCATATGCCCAGTCAGATCTCCATATCAAACACCACAAACCCATACCTTTAGGTTTGTTATTAATATTTGTCAATGTTTTCATGGACATGATTCGTGGCCGGGATATAACTCCAATTAAACTTAAATAGGAATTTGAAAAACTTGTAAGATAGCAGAATCACAAGTTGTTATAACAAAAATGTAATTCTTACTTACAAAAACAAATGTATTTACCTTTTATCACTAATTCATCAATTAATATCATAATATTAATAAAACCCCTCTTACCAGTGTAATCATTGCAGATGTTGCGGTGCAGCGACTATCAATATTATTTCCTACTGCTGAGCTGAACGTCATCACAGACACGGCCTGCGTGGCTGCTACCGAGGAGGTCCGTGTTTTTTTGCTGTTGTTTTCAACTGAGATTTTAATTGGGCCACTGGCCATTGAATGAAAACTTCTTAATATTAATAGATGTTAGATTGCAACTGGTTTGCGAACTGTTTCTAATTCGTATGATGATCAGCGTTAGCTGACGTAGAGTATGAAATCGATAAATCAGTAATGATGGTAGTTTCACCAATTAGATAACTCAGTACTTATAATCCCTACTTCTGTGAGGAAGTAACAGGTTCCAGCATTGCTAGAGAATTTACCAGGTCTCAAAGCAGAATATATAATCATGCATTACAATATTTAATTATATATTACAACGGTTCTACTCCCTCATCTTTAAGATGTCTCAGAAATTTGAAGATTTGCTGATTCTGGTTACATAGTTAAAGCCATCCATCATTCACCAAGAAGTCAAATTAAATGGTTAATTGGACATGCGATTGCCTAATAAAAGTATTACCATGATCATAAGTAACGGCCACCACTTAAGAGTTCAGATTCTTAGCAGTCGAGCTGTCGAGCGGTGAAACTGAAAGATAAATGAGTTTTTACGTCAAATCTTTCATCGATACCAGAAGAATCACGCAAATATTTTCCTGATCTCAAAACAAAATACATAACTACCCCAATGGTTAAAATCACTCAAATTGGACATTGATTCGAATTCGGGTTAAAACGTTTAAGCCATCACCATGAAGAGGTCAAATTAAATGCTTAATGGGACATGAAATTGACGGTTATAATATCATTATACCTGTATTTTGACGCGACGCACGCGCGTGGCGGGCGTTGAAGGATTGCGTTACATAGTTCTGATATTGAATTTGGATATTCCGTCGCTTTAGATTGATTAAAAAGAGTCATGATTTCGCTGCTATTTCGGTGGAATGATATTTGAAAGTTTCAGTCAGGACGAGTAAGTACCAGTATCCAGCTCAGTAACTCTATGTCTTCCGAGAGATGTTTTAACAATCACATTCACACCAGTTTTCAGCCCTAATCTCCAGACCATGACATGATGACACGGCCACATTTCTAATGTATAATCTTTTGGGGGAAACTAGGCTTGTACTTCTTTTTGGGGAAACTAAGCTTGTACTTTTATACACTTAACTGCAAGTGCATGATAAAATGCAAAACTGTTATTTGAGAATTTAAGAGGCTCACTACAAGTTGGTTCCGTCTGCGAAAGTAATCCAGCTAATTCAATACTCCTTTCATTCTAATGACAGGACACTGGTAGTGCAATGCAACTGCTGATGGCTGGAAATTAGTAGTAGCATACTTCACTGTAGTTTGATTTCAGCTCTAAACTTCCCGTACCTGGCCGTTCTTAAGAGCACAATCATCAACTATCCAGTACTCGCCTGCCAGTAAGAGTTGCTACCAGCACATGTAGGAGAGGGGGGACCTCATTACGAATCACACTTTTACAATGTGAAACAATGTGTGGAAGAAACTTGTTGTTTTCAAAAGGATGAAATATCACAGGAGTGTCTGGATTGCTGGAACTGAGTGTCTGGATTGCTGGAACTGAGTTTTAACAGACTTTAAGAAAAGCTTTTTCTCCTGGTTTGAGTGTTTAGACAAATTTTGATCGAAAAATTTTGCAACCCCCTTCTCAGGAGTTCTCTTTCCAAGGTATGACAATTTTGATGACTGGTAGTGCACAGAAACCGACTGAACTTTGGTCGTGAAGCCCTGACCGCGACTCTGATGTTCGCTGTAAAGATCCCGTGCTTTGAACACGATCCTAGTATAGTCGTAGTAGCGGGTATACTGAAAGGGTTACTATAGTAACGACAGAGTTCCCTCATCTTCTTCTAAAGCTTCTTTACTCTCCCCCGAGTTCATGCGCCAGACATCGGGCATTTCTGACTGAGACTTTTGGGGCCACTGCTTTGGCTTCTTTTGTTTCTCTGTTATTGGATACAGAAGTACTGTCGTGTTATTATTGTCGCTTATTTATTTATTTGCAGAACTAGGGATTTGCTGTGAATGTTGTTGTGAGCGTGCGTTTATAGATCTCTCGCGTCTAGGGGTGTTATAGATCTTTGAACTTCATAATGACATTTGCTGACGACTGTCATTTGTGCTCAATATAACCATCGGTTAAATCATAAATATCTAAATGCTTACCTCAAACCTATTATCAGTGCTCAAATGTCTACATAACTCTCTGGTCTTATAATGATGTATGATTTTGCAGTGACTCAAGTATTAAACTCGACCCCTATTTCGCACTTATTGGGTCGTACCTATCTCACCTGCTTATCTAATCAAATGCGACCAGGTTACAAAGATTAGATTCTTCAAAATTTAAAAGACATGTTGTATGGTTACATATTCTTAAAATGGTGAAAGTCACGAAAGTCACGAATTTTCTCTAAATCTGCAACCGTTTAAAAGTTCACTCTAACTATGCTTTTAACAGTACTATTTAATTTCGTTGATTTTGAGTTTAGGGTCGAATCCAGGCGTTAGCTTGGTGACCATTCATCAAGCTGTACTGTTTCACGCGTTAGCGTGATTAGCACAGTCGAGTCGGGCTTTCAAAGATCATCTTAATGAGTGCCCAGGTAATGTGATAGATGGACCTAGAGCTTCTGAGTTCTGACAGAGAATGGAATATGATTCCTACCTTGTGAGGTGAACCCTTGGTTAAGTTCTGAGGTGCTAGCAGACAGACTGCAGTACGAAATGGAGTCATTGATCCTAGCTAGACGGCACGTAACGCATCTCGTAATCGATTACTCGACGCGTTACGTGCCGTCTAGTTAGGGTCATAAGGTTCACGTCCATAGTACGGTGCAGCACCACATGAAGTTTGATTCTGACAGTCACCTAACACCAGGACATCAGCACAGAGGATTGCAGCCACCCGAAGTTGTACCACTCAAACCGCTGCCCATATTGCATGGATGGGGCCTTTTGAACTTAGAGGCAAGTCAGTGAATGTGATAGTCAGATAAGCTGATAATCTAATAGGGTGATCAACAGCTTAAACTTAGCGCAGAGGTAAAGAAATAAAACCCGCGAATCAATCAGTGTCAACAGGAAAGCAAACATTTTAATATACCTTCTTGAGTCAGCTCAAACTTCGAGTTTAAGTTACGTCCGGCGCATAAATTAGGTTATTTTATGCCGTTGCGACTTATATAAAGCATATTTTAAAAAGGTTTTATAAAATCTTAGGTTAAATCCCTTTGATCAGTTAGATCATTTCACTACATCAAAGAATAAACTATAAGGGTTGGAACTATGTCGGCATACCATCATCGAGCAGCAATTTGGGTTAAGACTTAAGTGGCTCAGATTTAAAAGTCTCGAGTTAATCTGTTAAATAGTTGTCTTTACTTTCATGCTGTTCGTCACTTAGCTTCATAATTCTACGCACGGCATACCAAGGTTTTTATATAATCACAAAAGCTTTTTATTATTCAGGTTTTAATATACTGTAAAAGCATATCAAGAAACCATAAAATTTGTACTATTCTACTTAGCGCTGTACTACAAATATATAATATAACTATAATATTCCTCACTCTTTTAACTTCCTTTTTTTCCCCTGCAGATAGCAGTAAAAAGGTTGCTGGCGCTGGATTACCCTATGTCTAGACTTGCCGTTACTCTGCCCTCCGACCAAAACGGTCTCGAAGATTCTCAGGACGAATAACTGTGTAATTGTGTCGTGAAGCTAATTGGTGGCGTGTGATTTCAGGAGTCGCGGGACTTCTATATATAATAGTCTGTAGGAGACGATTCACAGATTGGGGGGTCACGGGAAGTAGGGATGTGATCTGTAAAATATGTTGCGAGGAGAACTCATTAATTAGTAATCATAGGGGAATGTAGGCATAACCAGGTTTGGAAATGTTGTGAGCGTTCTCTAGTTCGTGATTGTCCGTCTTATGGACAAAGAAAGAATGAATTGCTTGCCATTTTCAATATCGTCCGTGGCGATTATTGCAATGACATTATAGATTATAGACCCGAAGATTGTATTTTAATAATGCCTGTACCTACTTCTTTGGCCTTAGAGTTAAAGGATGCATTTTCACATTTTTTGCTGTCTCAATTTGGACAAAAAGGCCTCCACAAGTTTACAGTTGCACTCAAATTTAAACCCCCGATTCAACGTGGGAACTTAAATAAGCATGGGGTTCTTGCTTCCCTCAGTTCTGAGATTTGTTGTTTATCAAACCCGACTAACCAGGAAGCTTTGCTATTTTAAATCGTTTAACTTCAAGGCTTCCGGTAAATCATTGTCTACAATGTATAACTGTTTAAGTAAAATATAACTCTTAAATTACCAAACCCCTGCTTAAATTCCTGCCACAAAAAGAAAATCGTTATTCCTCACTACATATTCTGTCAGTTGCTATAGCATATTTTAGGTACTATCCCTCACCAATAATCTCCATAACACCTGACAGCCCCAACGTTCGATATCCACGTCATAATTACCAGCTACCTCTGAGGCGATATCCTCGTCACGACCACTGGTAATAATCACCAGGTACCTCTATTCCAGGGGCCCCATTCCGTAATGTCCTCATGACAACTGACATATTAATCTGGACATATGTAACCTAATATCAGTCAGCCCCCTTGCCCCACAAGTATAGGGGCCAAGTTTCAGTAAGTTGTAAAGACTAAGCACGTGAAAGGGCCGTATGATCTCGTCCTAACACGTGGTTAGTCACGTGATCAGCCCCTTATTGTACGTTCATATCAGTTCCCTTCGCTTTTAGTTTGAGTCCCGGTGTTCTGGGGCTCACTAGGGCACTTAGGATCTTGTGGGGAGGCGGCCCATATTTTCAAGTCATTACCAGCTGGCTAGGATCAGGGTCATGATCTGGGGTGATATCGTTTTGTGTGGATCCTTATCTTGTTTCTGTCATCTTGCCATGCTTTTACTGCTTCTTATAGTTGGGCTTTTAATCGGAAATGTTTCAGATTCTTACAATTTTTAAAAGTCGTCACGAAATTGCTTTTACTTAGCACGTTTCTGATGATTTAATTAATCTAACCGTTGTTTCATCTGCTAGATTGCACTACTTTCATTATTTTCTTTGACTATCTGAAATTACAAATCTTTACCAGCGTCATACGATAATCGTAGATATGACATGTATTTTATAATCAGTGGCTCTGAATTTTATAATTATTTGCTACATTTCAAATGTTTTACAATTTAATACCCCGGGGTTTTGTATTTGATTTGATCGTTTTTATTGTATGTTTGATGATTTTATTTGTTCTACTGATATTTTAATAGAGTTTCTTTTATTTTATTGCTTCTCAGGGCTCTGATAAGTTAAATTAACCCGATACGAAACTATAGCGTCTTATAAAGTTGATACTATATAGTTAAACCCGTATTCAAGAGAATAATACGTCATTCAATCAAGAAATGGTGCAGTCAGTGCTGATAATGAAGATTGAATTTCGCTTTGCATTGATTTCTAACATACATGACTTCCACCTAAAATCTACATTTATAATGCTCAGGTGGAAGCATTAAATGCTGGTGACAGTACAACTCATCTTCATTTAAACCTGTATGTATTTAATGAAATTGCTTGACTGTACTTTTAAACCTAATCGTGTTGGACTTCAAATGTTTCTATGTTAGACAAGATTGTGCGAATCTGCTCTTCAGTAAATTCCATCTACTTTTTAGTTACGTAATGTACTTGATTTTAAGTTTTAATATCGAATTTTTTGTTCAACTGTAACTGCAGTTAACACTTATTAACTTTCAATTTAGAATGTGACAAAAACATCGTATTAACGATTTACGACTGGAGTTCCTGGAATAGAAAAAGTAACATTACCAACGCCCTACTCACGCCTAATTACGCCTACTATTACAACCTACTTCTATAGATGGTGAGTCTCTAGAAAATAATATGTATAGAACGATATTTTTCGTTATTAATATTAAAAACATTTATAAAACTTCATAAAGAACAAGCTATAAAGTATATAAAACTGTCGAAGTGGTCATTAATAATTGTTTACATTCTAGCGAAAAAGATTAAATTTTAAAAATAAAGGTTTTAAAAATGGAGCTATTTCAAATTTTAAATTTGCATCTAATAATATGCCGAAATAATACCGAAAAACACTAAAGGTTTTCATCCTATGGCTGTAGTTAAACATTGACGATCTCGATATAAATCTTTGATGGAACTTTCTTTTTAGCGTGGAAACCCAAATAAAAATATAACCCAAATAAAAATATAATTTGAAGTTGGAACTCGTTCTCGGGTTTACGTTAAACGGAAAAAATTGTGATCTGTAGCCATAGTACATAAATTCTTCGATAAAAGCAGTGCCTATACAGCGGCACTAAAAAAGAAATCATTCATAATTTGATCGATTATCTAAGACATTTTCATACGTCCAGTATTTGAATTGCGCTCCTTCATATTATTCAGTCGCTCCTACATAAGAATTAGAAAGTGCAGACCATGCTTACTAAATTTTGATATAAGGACTGGGCAGTGGGCAGCCTGATATGCCATTTTAAGCACGGTGCAGGATAACTTAGTCAGTGTCCTAACTGGCACTATTATGAGCGCGCTATCAAGTACACCCAGTACCTATCCTATATTATAAACCCGCGCTAAAGTACCCCCAATATCGTCACTGCCACTAGATCTGAATAATAGTGGGGGTACTTATCACCTTCCTGCCAATAATCTGGACCTAATGGCCCCCAACAGGTGGTTCAGGATGCGAACTGTGCGCCAGGTGTGGTTCAGTACTACGGAGTACGGATAATAAAGAACATAATCCCTCTCCCGCGTGATGTTAAAGTACAAAAACCACAAAATAGCCACCCTAATCTTGTTTACGTACGTCTAGACGAGTAGTTGTGTTTAAGAACCGACCGGAAATCCGGTCCGGTCCGGTCCGGTCCGGTATCCGGCCGTTTTTGATCCGGTCCGGTCCGGTCCGGTTTTAATGCTGATTTTAGCCAGAACCGGATTTTAAACTCATTCCTATTTTTATCGAGTGAACTTATATTTTTTATAACTTAACTATTATCTTACTATCAAAATATCATCCCAGCTTAGCGATCCCCGGCTGACTGTCGCCCTACAGCAGTTTAGACGAGACACTAAGTCTCAGCAGATTAATTTAGATACTGGCGCAAAATGTTCACAAACGCCAGACAGTCTGAATCACTGTGCAGAGGTTGGAGACTCCAAGTCCGAGCTCATTGTATTGCTATATTTGTTGCACGTGCACGGCGCACAGGCGCCAGCTCGTCAGGGGGTATCTAGATACTATATTCGAAATTATCGTGCAGCAACTGTTTGAAATCCGGTAAAATCCGGCGAGCCTTTCAATAAGAGCCCGAATCCGGTATCCGGTCCGGTCCGGTCCGGCTTGCCGGATTTTTTATTGAGATCCGGTCCGGTCCGGTCCGGTCCGGCAGCAAAAAAGCCGTTCCGGTCGGTTCCTAGTTGTGTTCAAGCTAGCTCTGTGTGGTTCACTTTTACTTGACGACCATTAGTTTTGTTTTTGCTGTCTAGATTTTTTGCCCGAGATCTACCTCGAATCATACTTCCGAGGATTTGTTGTTCCAAGATAACGTATCAGTATTAATAGACACCATTTTAACAGATTGAATCAGGAGATGGGTTTGCAACAATGACCGCAATCTTTAACAGTTTCAAGATTTGTTGCAATTTTTAGAGTGTTTTCTCTTGGTGGCGGACAATTCGTCAATACTCTTCCCGATTTTATAATGATTGCACAACAATCTTCATCGTCTTCAGCTGTCGTCATTTAACCAGAGCCACTATTTTTATATCCGTCTCTTAATACGACATCGCATCCTCGGTGTTATATTATAGTACCTCTCTAAGAATTAGTACAGACTCCGAACTGCAATTTGATTGGAAAATGGGTACTACTAGGATTGCTATTCCCCAAAATAAATCAAACTTGTACTGCAGTCAGCAGTTTAGTACCCTTTAATGTCGAATAAAACCTCCTATCCCCACATGTAACCGCAGCCACGTGCTTCCTCTGGCTAGGTACTATTTTGGGAGTCTCCAACACCGTGAAATTATGCAGCACCGGGATCAGCTAACCTTGAAACTGGTATTGTAATTGCACGTGCAGTCGCAACAATTCGCAGCTGCAGAGACTTCATAGTTACTACCGCCCTATTTAGTAACTTGATGTCCTATTTTTACTTATCGTATAGAATATTGGTAGGTTGACGGTTCTCATCAGTTCCGCCTATTAACAAGTTAGATCTTGTTTTGGCCGTCTCTAACGAGCGCTGAATGTTTTTAAGACACTGTAACCCTACCCCTCATCAACCCATTTTACCACGTACTTCAAAGCCGGTGCTGGGTGCTGCACTTCAAAGCTTATTGTTAACCTCTCCACAATAAACAGTGCTCCCTCACGGATGAGTGGCTCCTTATAAATCTATCGTGTGCATCACTGCACCCATCCACCATGGCTAATGTGGTGACTTGTTATGTTAATCGGGGGTATTTATAATCCCATACCCCCTCGCTCCCTCGATCACTAATTTATATCCTATGACTATATTTTACCTGGTTAGGAACCTCCAGACTTCCTTTATTTTGCTGTCTGCTGTTGTGAATTTTAGTTTTCTCTCAACTCAGGGAGCATGTTTTCAGGCGATTCTCAAAAATTCGAGTTTCCATTTCTAAGAACCAAAGTTTTTGAGTCCTATGTAATTTTGTTAACATTCTTGTAGGAGTTATAGTTGCCACTATGCAGATTCTCATTAGAGAATAACCTGTGTGTTAAGAACATGATTCGGTGTTAATTACAAGTCATTAAAAACGTATTATACTCTAACATCTCGCACCTGTTTGTTATGATAATATCTGCTGTGGGCACTTAGAAAGATTATGGCTAATTTAAAAGCATACTACCTCCCCGCAAATCATAATCTGAGGTGCCAAGATTGAAGATAATAAAACAGTCCTTATAATTTTAACACTTCTTTACGTCTATATGCAAGGTAGAAACTCTCTTAAAAACTAGTCTTCTGAGTGAGTCGTACGTTTGCTGCTTCTTTCCGCAGCTTTAGATTCTCAGTAATAAATCCTGCAATTTTTATTTTGGGATTTATTGTGCCAGGAACAGTTCAATTTATATTTTGAACTGGGAATCCAATTTGCAAGAGGGTATCCAGACATTTAACATCATGGTTGTAATCACTTAAATAATATTTGAGCCATTTTCCAATTCTTTATGCTCATATAGCGATTTCATTGTCATATTGATAATGTAATTTGCCGATTCGACAAATGGATGCTCTGCCAATATTTTGAATTAAACCTAATTGTTCCCTCGAGATCCCACCATGGACAACTCCTATGACGAAGACAGAATCCTACCTGTGAGCGGATCTAGCGGAATCAACAACACACAAGATGGCTCAGGGTAAGTACGGTTTATACTGATATTTTCTACTAATTCAATCAGGTTAAGGTACTCATATCGGCTAGGAACGTCATGATTCCTTGGAAAGCTTCATTCTCACTCATCCCATAATTATCACTTCTCAATAAATCCTCAGTTTATATTATGGTGGCTGTATTATATGCGTTATTACGGTTGGCACGTTCCTCATGTTGGAATACAAATGCATTTTCCAACTTTTCATACTTTTTATTACTTACATTTTTAACCAACACCCAAAATGGGGTAGAGCGGACCGTCGTCAGTGTATCCTTTTTCCAAACAAAAGGAATTGATATCAATTCAAATTACTGTTACCGTACCCAAACGCAAAATACCGAGAATGAAATCGGTTGGTCGTTTTTTTTCCCATTCATTCACAGCCTGCAAATTTGAACGCATCGTTAGTGTAGTCGATTTGGTCAACGTCTAGACGCCCTGTAAAATTTCAGATCTCTAGTATAATTTTAACATGGTTTTCTTTATAGGCACCTGAATATGGCGATTTTGGGGTTTTTTACCGAATTTCGTATAGTAGTACTGGCATATATTTTGTGCAAATTTCTAATTTCGATTTTAAACCACTTTAATCAATTTCTGTCTGGTTTCCCTTGAAAATATTTGCTATTTCTATTAATATTCTACTCGATGATACTGATAGCAGTGTTGGACAATGGTACCTAGATCGATTCTGATAACTTCAATACTTCCATATAATTCTGGAGAAAGCTGATCTGCCTCATACGCGGCCTAAGTCACAACAATACTTTTGGCTTAAATCACAACTTTTGCATATTAATATTCTACTCGACAATTGTTGTGATAGCAGTGTTGGGCACTGTTAGATTAATGAAGAGAACAGAGTATGTTAGAATTCTTCATTCTACTACGTAATTCGTTCATCTAATTCTGGAGACAGCTGATCTGGTGATTACTTGACCTTAGTCCTGATTACTCGTCCCAATTATCCAGTGCAAGAAAAAACAGGTGGTTACTTCAACGATCAATCTGACTAGAATTATGAAGGATCTTAGTAAATGAGTACAGCTGCATTTTGATATATTAATGGAAAAATCTAATTTTGGTTGTGAGACAAATAAAACTCTTAACATCCTCGTATGATGAAGTCTTGGAGTATTTACTTATTTGCAGTTTGTAAGGAGCAGCAGTGTTTCTCTTCGTTCTGTAGCTCTGTTGTTCTCGTTGAAAATTCGCCGATATTTCCCAAGTGCAAGGCTCTTCAGAAGATTTCTGTTATTGTCATAACAGACACAAACCACGTACCAAGCTGTTCCTCCCCTAAACCTGGACCAGAAGTAACGAGACCATCTGGTTTACAATAGCTTTTACTTATTTAACTGTAACTTAACTTACATAATGATAAAGTAACTATTGCATTACACAAAGACACGGCTTACTACTCC